AGAGATATCGATGTTAATTAGCAAAAATCCTTTTCTGCCCTAATAGGAGTGTGCCATTAGATAGGCTGATTTGCAGTCGTTTAGGCTGTCCGCTGATTCCTTATCTGCCCTTCAGCAGCAATTAGTTTTGCAAGGTCTTTTTCCCCTGCACGAGGTGCTCTCTTATCCAAGTATTTTGTGGCTGGTTCTTCTCACCCCTTGTTAATATTCAGGCAGCACCAGGCAGAGGTGGTCTGGTGCTGGGCACCCCACTAACAGGACACGAGAACAGACAGCCATGGAAAACAAATGATAAAAAAGCAATGAAGACAGCGACCAATGTTGTGGCTCATCCAGGGCCCCTTCTGGTCTCCCTGCCAGCTTCCTTTTGGCCTGCTCTTGAGGAGAAAAAAATAAAGAACGGTTCATTAAATCAGTGTAACTGTCTTGAACAAAAAAATCATGAAAGTTTAATCCCTGATATGGGAAACTATTAAAGATTCATGATTACAATAAAAGTATCTAATCGAATTTGGGTCTTCATTCTTTTGGTGCTGCAGTGAGCCCAGTGCTCCTGCACTAGCAGCAAAATCCCTTCCAGTGGGCGGCCCAGTGAATTAGAGAGGCCTGGGAGGTGATGGCCATCACACCCGGGTGCATTTCTCTCGGCAGTTTAGTCACTTGCGTAATTCACCCTCCTTGTTATGTTGGTGGTCAGCAATTTTCTGACTGCTGGGTTCAAGCTGAGAGACCTGGAAAAGATCTGGAAAGGACCCTGAGGTATATCTGCGGTCTGGTGGTTGGGAATGTGGTCGTCTGTGGGGTTTGCCTTCCCTTGGGCTCCCTCCCTCCCTGTTTCTGTGTCTCTCCGGATCAGCTCAGGTGGAGCTGGTGCCTCGGGCTCTTCCTGCAGCTGGTTCACAAAAGCAAGGCTGCTTTTCTTTCAGACCAGGGAAGCTTCACATCCCCGGCACGTGATTTTGGCAGCCGGTCTCTGCTCTGCAGCCTGCTGGGGTAGGTGTGAGCATCCCATCTAGACACAGCTCTGCTCTGTGTGCTCCCTGCCAGCCGCTGCAAGGGTTTGCCGTCTCCTGGTCATGACCTTGCCAAATCCAGCGCATCCCTGGTGCTGCATCTTGTCCTTCTCCAGGGAAAGTTGAAGGAGGGAAAGGTGAGCCAAGAGCAGATGGCTCTGTTTGCAGGGCCTGCTGCTTTGAGAACCTTTCTGGAGCCAGAGGAGAAAGAAGAAAAGGAGAAAAAAGGTGCAGCGGGACCTGGAGCGTGCATCCTGCTGCAGGCTCAGGGCCCTGCATCAGCCCAGCCTTGCCTTTGGGTCTCTCTCATCTCCAACATCTCTCCCGCATTATTAGCTGTGCAGCTGACAAATTAACCATGGTTACAAGGACAGCAAGCAGAGAGCACTGGCTGAACCATGCTGAGGTCAAAACAGAGGCCCTGACGGTGGTGTTGGGGGACTGGGCTGTCCTGGGCTGCCACAGCCCTTGCTATCCACCAGCCCCTTTGCATGTCACAAAGGAAGGAGATGTCCCCAGAAGAATGAGGCAGCCAGCCTGAGGTGGCTGGATGGGGCTGAACACAGAACCGAGCTCTGGTGCATCTGGGGTGCACCTGGTGCCTTTGCTCCAGCCCCTTTCCTATTTTCTCCGCTCACAGTTTTTTTCCAGCCTCACTCAGCATCCTGTGTCCTTTCATCAGAGGGAAAGGTAGACAAGAGCCCTTGACTTCTCATTATTGCCAGCATTATTTTATATAGCTCCATCAAGTCCCCACACATCACCTCTTCTCTAAATTTAACAGGCCTAATCTTTGCAATCTGTCCTTTCACAGGCACCTTCATCGCCACCAGTCATCACTTCCCTTCTCTGGAGCTTTCCCTTCTGTGTCTCCTTGCTGGGCAGGCAGGGACGTACCGGGGAATGCACTCACAGCAAGGTCACACATTCACGTGGATATCTCCAGTGCACTGTTTTTAGAGCTGTTCTCGAGCTGTTTTTTACCACTCCTTCCCGTCAGCATGTTTTCTGTTGCGTGCTTTCTTGATCCTTCCCAAATCACAGCTGCAGCTCTGATCAGCTTCTCCAATTCCTTTTGTCTCCATGTGGCTTCTCAGGGAGACCCTGCACCATCGCTAGCTCTGCATCTATTTTTGCAAGGCTGGAGGATCAACATGAGCTCCATGAATGACCCTCCAAAGCCAGGTATTTGCTATGGCTATGAGCAGAGCAGGGGAGCTTGATGCTGGAGGAGTCGACATGGCCAGTACAGGTCTCCTGGCAGGCCAAACGGTGCTCAGGGACAGCTCTCCTTAGGGTGATCAGGAGTCAGGAGGCTTTCCTGAGCTGTGCAGCACCTGGACCTGCCTACTGAGGCTAATTTTGGATGCGAGGACAAACACAGGTCCCCACTGTGGCTTGCTCACACCCAGCCACAACATTTAAAGGACAAAGGAGCGAGCTCTGTGGAATTTGCCCTGCATGTTCATCCTCCTCATACTGTCATCTGCCATCCCAGTTCAAGCTGTGGAGAGGACAGAGTTGGAGGGGAGAGGTTTTGCCCTTGTAGCCAGAGATCTGTCTGGGGATGGGCCACCAGGCCCTGGCCTGGACTCCGGGCCAGCTGCAGAGGTGGCAGCCCAAGGGCTTTTCTCATGTTTGACCTGAGGACCCAGTGCTCTAATCTCCACATCCTGGCCATGCGAGTCAAATTCCCCTTCTTGGCCACTTGCTTTGACCCAACAATAACTTGTCTTGTGCCCACCTCGTGCCAGCACTGTTTGGGGAGCTTGCCACTGTGGAGGTCTGGTGGCTGATAACGCTGCAGGCAGCAAAGAGGGAAGCTGCCCTGCATCCTCAGCACATGGAAACTGCCTCTGTGGTCCCTAAAATAGCCCCAGCAGTGCTTGCACACGTGCCATACAGTGGGTTTGGGGGTGCCACTGGGGAGAACAGGCCCGGGGTCTCTGTAACAGGCATCTGGAATTTTCTTCAGGACTCATTTCAAAAGAAAACAAAGCAAAATGTAATAACAATTAGGCTGCTGCAATCTCCCCTCGAGCGCTGCTGGGAGGAGCATAATTTAAGGTAATTGTGGTTTTCTTTGCTATTAAGCCAACTTTGCTCTCCAGCAGTCTGTGGGGGAGGTCCCCTGGTGCCACAGAAGTGCGTAAACCTGGCAGAAACAGGAGGCTGAGACCACGGCACTGTGGAGTACAGCAAGGGCAAGTGGAGCCGGGCTGTGGCCACTGCTTCGGTGTGAGCCCCGGGGTCCGAATCCCCTCGGGGTGAGCTGGTTGTGTTCCCCCTGAGGCCCTGGATAATGCTTGTGGTTGTGCCCTGTGCCCCTGGCTGGTTATATGGCAGCAGGGGCAGTGTTGGTGTTGGTCCCTGAACGTGGCTGCTGCCAGGGCCGGATTCTGCTTGTGAAATACCCTCAGTACCCTCCGGGGATGCACATTGCAGTGGTTTCTGCTGGCTCATGGTCCTTCTGCCACCCCAGGACTCCCCACCAGCTGCTCTTCCCCTCCTCTCCACTTGATTTCTCATAAAATCGCCCCTCGGGGGGCTGTGTGGTGCCGGTCACACCAAGCTGTCATGCTCTGCCTCAGGCTTGTGGGCGCTGGCAGAAGGGAAAGGCCCCTGGGAAGCACCTTTCTGGGTCCTTTTAGCCTTGAAGCTGCCAGTTCTTGTTGGCTGAACTGGCTGCCACAGGCCTAACAAGGGGAAGGGGGGTGTGTGTGTGCAGGGGGCCCGTATGTGTGCCAGTCCTCAGCCAGCATGGCCGGGCCTGGAGGGCTGCTGCTCCGGCCCTAAACCCTGGGAGGTGCGGCATGTCCTGGCCCTGCTGCTGGGTGCTCGGGCCTGGAGAGGCTTCTTGGCTGCTGGGATAGTCAGCAGGCCTCTTGGTAGTCCTGGTGTCCTTTATTTCAACCCTACAAAGTTTGGGTGGCGCTGGGGGAAGCTGGGTGGCAGCAGAGCCACAGCCCGCCGGCAGTAGGCTTGGCAGCGGCGAGTCGGGGCTTCTGGCTGGGGTGAATTTAAGTCTGGAGAATTAATCCCAGTCCTCTGAGGCTTCCTCGACCCAGCAGCAGCAGAGTGAGATGGACGGAGATGAAAAGTTCGTGCTGACTCTTTGTGCTGTTACTTCAGCCTCAGAAGCACTTCCCTCTCTCCCTTTTCTCCTCCGAGCTGGGGGCGAGTTATTTAAAGAGCTGTCGTGTTCTGCTTGTATCGCGGCATAAAGAAAACAAGATTGTGTTTTGACAAAAGCTGAGCAGAAGCCTATGGTTAAGCAAAGATATGAAGAAGCAGTTTCAGAGAGGTGGCTTATCAGGAACAGGGTGAATTTTGATATGGGAGTGAGAAGCGCACCGAATGCCCTAGAAGCAAAGAAAAAGAGGACTTGGGATGAAGGAGATTCTTCCAGATGAATGCTGTGCCTTGAGCACGGCCAGGCTGTCAGGAAGTCCCTGAGTACAACAAAGGCTGTGCCCACAAGATGAAAGCTCTCAGGAGCAGCTGGGGAGGAAATGGGGGGAGAGGAGAGATGAAATCCCGGCTGTCCCAGCTCCCCGGTGACAGGGCTGGGGCTGTGCTGAGACACTGAGAGCGAGCCCTTGGGGCTGCATGCAGAGATCCGGGGTTTGGAGCCTCTGCAGATGGCTCCTGGCCTCCCAGCTCAGCAGGAAGGAGTGGGAATGGACTTCTTTGTATTTCTGGGGACTGTTTCCAACCTGATCTGCAGACTGGTCTGACTCAGGATCCTGGATAGGCTCCTCCAGGCTTCCCAGCCTGGCCCGTTGCTGGCTGTTGGCTGAAGGGCTCATTCTCCAGCCACCAGCACTTGGATCCTCTCCCTCATCTCTGTTCATCTCTCCAATTGCTGTGGCCCCAGTTTGGCGTTAGGGTAAGGTGAATAGCTCCTCTCCAGTGGAAGAGGAAGGCACGTTCCTATCAGCAATGCCTGCAGGGCAATGCCAGGCTCACCCTGCCCTTACTCTGCAGGTGGGAGACCAGATCCTGGAGGTGAACGGCCGGAGCTTCCTCAGCATCCCCCACGACGAGGCGGTGAAGCTGCTCAAGTCCTCCCGCCACCTCATCATGACGGTGAAGGACATCGGGAGGCTGCCCCACGCCCGCACCACCGTGGACGAGACCAGGTGGATAGCAAGCTCCCAGATCGGAGAGACCCTGGTCAACGCAGCAGGGTAGGTGCCTGCTACACCCCACACAATAAATAGGGCTGCCAGGGCTCCCCTAGGGTACTTAGTACCCCCAGGTGCTTAGCTGGGTGGCCCCCATGGCTGGTGCTCAGACGACAGCACCCTGTAAGGTGGGTGAGGTGTGGGCAGCATGCTGCTGCGCCATTCAGAGCTCCTTCCCTGGTCTCTCAGGCCGGGAGCTTTCCCCCATTAGCTTACAGGTACAGGGAGAAGAGTAGCTAAGAGATCTCAGGGGATGACTGCTCCAGGAGGCGACTGATGGACACGTGGCACTTGGTGTTAACTCATCTTCTCCCCCCTCGCAGGGCAGCGGGCGATCACGCTGCGGAGGCGGCAGCCAGGGTAAGAGATGCCAGCCCTCACCTCGGTGCCTTGTGAAAAAAAAGCCATCTCTCCGTGGGAGGGAGGGCTGTGTGCTCCTGGTGGTAAAAGGGATGTTGGTTTATGAGGACGGCTGCCTTTTAGCTGGCTGTAGCCTTTTTCCTGCCTATCTCACGTTGCTAGTTTTATTTCTACAAAGCCTGGCATAACGGGAACCCCTCTCCTGTACCACTGCTGGGCCAGTTGTGGGGCGCAGCTGCAGCCTCCCAGCCTGGGGATGATCATGGTCAGGGGTGACAGGCAAGGGTGTGGGGATCCCATCCCATCCCATCCCATCCCAGGATCTCTCCCACCCCACAGCATGAGGGTAGCAGGGCCCTGCCCGGGACTGTTCCTGCAGCACCACATCAGCCCTTCTGCACCAGCCCTTTGCAAGGTGCTCTCCCTTTAAATGGAAATGAAGCCAGGAGGTTTCACAGGTGGCTTGCACTGATAATGCTTTCATGCTGTTTGCTTGGCAAAACATGTTCCCCAGCCTCAGCTCCTTTCAGTGTCCCCAGGATAGTCAGGATGTTGTCTGGCTCCATATCTGTACTCTGACTGCTAACGCTGCCAGGGAGGGGAGCAGCAGGGACCTCCTCCGTTAGAAATCCTCCCCAGAGAAAGAAGCCTTTTGTCAGTCTGCCTCTGCAGTCGGACATCCCTGTCCCTGGGGCTCCTCTGGGCCCGTTAGCTCTTTCTTCACCTGCTTGGAGCTTGCAGTGCCAGTTGTGCATTTTGTACAAGATGCATTTTGCACAAGACGCCTTCTCTCATGGCACCCATTCCCCCAGCTGTGCCAGGAAGGAATGCAGCCTGCTGTTAAATCAGTGGCTGGCCAAAGGATAGTGCCCAAACCCAACGCCCTGTTTTTTTCCGCAGCCTGTGTTTTACCGGGGCCTGGCGGGCTCGCAGGTAACGCTGAGCAGCATGGTGAACCAGACCCGAGTCATGCTGGAGGAGCAAGCGCGGCACCTGCTGAACGAGCAGGAGCGAGCCACCATGGGGTACTACCTCGACGAGTACAAGGAAGGCAACATCTCCGTGGATGCTCTGGTCATGGCGCTCTTCGAGCTGCTCAACACGCACGCTAAGGTGAGCCCTGCACCGGGGACAGGGACATTTTATCTCAGGGGCCTGAGCAGAGCCATGGTCACGGCGTGGCTCAGCACCTCCGGGTGTCCGCACAGGGTCAAGGGTGAGGGTTTGAGAGCAAAATCCAGGGGCAGGACATTATGGGAGGCACAAGCTGGCGTTTGGTGGCAGAGGAGCTTCTGGTAAAGCTCAGGACCAAACATCTTCCTTCGTTACCTGCCCGTGCGTCTCGTTGCCACTGCTGAACGGGGGGAGGATGGGGCTTCACGTGCCTGGGAGTGTGGTCATGCTCCAACCTCTCTTTGGTTGTCTGTCTGCCTGGCCCAGTTCTCACTGCTTTCAGAGGTGCGGGGCGTGATCTCCCCGCAAGACCTTGACCGCTTCGACAACCTGGTGCTGAAGAGAGAGATCGAGTCCATGAAGGCCCGGCAGCCCTCAGGGCCCAGCGTTGGCACCGACTCCTACTCCATGATGTCCTACAGTGACACCGTCTCTTCCTCCAGCAGCCACTTCACCTCCACAACCGTCAGCTCGGCCCGGGTAAGTCTCTTCCAGCTCTTCCTTTTCCCTTCAACCCAGCTCCTGGCAGCCCTGCGGCAAACTCAGTTCCCCCAAGTGCTCTGCAGGCATTTCCCCCAGCATGAAGTCTGCTTCCCCGATGGGTTCCTGCAAAGCTTTTTTATCCCCTTACAAGCTGCCAGGGCTCATCTCTTCTGGCTGCAGGCTGTGCCACAGCACTCCTGCTTTTAGAGGCAGGGGTCCTGGAGTATCCTACAGGGGCAGGAAAATGACGACTTGTTGCTGACTTGGAAAGCACAGCCTTGCTCCGAGAGGCCTTTGCCATCCATTTGCTTCCCAGCAGAGAGAAAAGGGTCTAGAGCAGCCGGGTGGGCTGGAAGGAGGCAGGGAGCAGGAGTGCAGGGACAGGCACGGTGTTGCCCCAGCATTGCCTGCCTCCTGATGGGTCCTGCACACGTTTGGTGTCCCGTATGGGCACTGCAGGTACTTAAATTCTGAGATGCTCTGGGGTCCTTGCAGGCTGGGCACAAGAGTGAGATCTGTAGGGGCAATAAGGTGACATGGTGACACATCATGGTATCTCTCAGTGCCCCTGAGACGAGTTAGATGCCCCATCCTCTGCATGGGGGCTGAGCATCCCTTTGTCCCCAGGGAGGGAGCAAGTTTGCTTCCCACCCAGTGCTTCCAGCTCACAGTGCGGGCTGCAGCCACAGAAATCACAGTGACTCGCCGCTGCCACGCCGTCCCTGCCGCTGTTCACCAGCTCTTGCTGCCACTTCTGAGCCACCTCCTCAGAGATGTGGCTGCCTGTTCCCTGTCCCAGCGGGTCCCCAGCAGCCAGGCCAGCTGTGTCCTGTCCCAGCCTCTGCCCACTCCAGCATTTAGCAGCAGCGCTCCCACGTCTCGCTGCCAGGCCTTCGTTGCACGCACCGTCTAATTAAGTTATCGTAATCACCTCAGAATGTGCAGGCACACAGCCCCCAAATTAATTTCCTGGCCATAAAATGCCTTTCATCACAAATGCATTAGCAACCTTGGAAATTAAAACCTTCTTGAAAAGAACAGATGATGATGGGCTTTCTGCTTGTTTGACAGCAAGCAAACCGGCCCACGTGTGGGGTAGGTGGTACTGTGTTGCAGAGGGGCAGCAAGGTGGGGGGCTTTCCTGGGGCTGTATCTTTCCCACAGTTTGGCCCTGCTTTCCAAAAGGCCTCAGGGAAGGTTCAGAGCATCAGAGCTGTGTTTTTGTCCTGCTGACTTCAGAAATACCCAAAGGATGGCTTGTGGTGTTCGGGATGGATTGCAGCGAGTGCCTTTCTGGATCAGGATAAGCTGCTGCCAAGCAGGGAGCAGGGGCTCTGGGTGGTGGGTGCTGAGCAGCTCGCAGGGGAGAGAGGAGGCACGGAGCTTGTGGACTGTTTGCTCTCTCAGGAGGGGCTGATTGCAGCCTTCCTGCTCAGCACGGGGACGTGGATCCTGCAGGGTGGGCTTGGGGGAGGAGGGATGCGTTGTGCTGGGGTTTGTTTCTCTCGCTTGTTTGTTCTGCATCCTCCCTGACGTTATGTTTTCGCTTTTATGCTTGTTTTAATCTGCTTTTCCCTCGCACGTCCCCAGGAGCGGCTCTTGTGGCTAATAGACCTGATGGAGGTAGGGACCAGCAGCGAGTCGGGCAGCTCGAGTACCGCAGTTGCCATAGGAGGCGAGCTGCGAGTGCGTGCGGATGTGCGCTGGGTGGGAGGTGGGGGACAGGCCCTTCCCGGGGCCAGCACGTGTCTCGGCCACGTGAGCAGCCGCCTCGTGTCTCCCAGCTCTGCTTCTTCTCCCCGTGGCTCTGCTGAGCCGTTCCTAAGTCCCCTTCCCTAGCTCAGCAGCAAGGCTGCGGGTCTCAGCACCGCAGTGCAGAGCAGGCTCAGCTGTGAACCAGCCCCAACTGGTACCAATGTCCTGCCTGAACAAAAACCCCAGCTCAGAGCTGGGCTTTTAGAAGGACCAGCAGCATTAATATCCGAGGGACCCCCGGCTGTGTCCCCTGCCTCGTGGCCCTGTTGTGCCAGCTCTCCCTGCTGTTGCCCTGTCTCCCTGTGTAGGCACCCTGGTGAAACACCGCGGGGTGTCCCAGCGCATCACACATCCCCAGGGACTGGAGAGCTTTCCTTACAGACCTCAGGTGTGCAAAAATCTGTGCAGGAGGGTAGCTGTACTCACACTGTGCGTGTTCAGCCTTGCAGAAATCCTTGCACACATCTCAGAGCCTCGAATATCTGCCTGTAATCACAGAGCTCAGGGCTGGGAGGAGGCTAAGGGCTGCACGCTCGTGCCCTGCAGCGTGGCTCTGCTGTGCAGGGAGTGTTGCCCTCTCCCGTGGCTGTTGGGCACTGAATGGTGGCGGTCAGCAGGTTTCACACACCGCAGCTCTCAGCTCCACCACTCACCAGTACTGCTTTGGGACACGGGGCCTCCGGTAGCTGAGAACCCGACCCAAATGCCTCATCCCCCAGGAACAACAGTTGCCTAGAAGAAGAAAGCTTTGAGGTTTATCAGAGACATTCTGAGCCTTGGGACAGGTTTCTTTGGTTTCATGAACAAAGTCAGCGGTTTGGTGGGCAGACATGCCAAAAATAGCTCGTGTGGGGCTGATCAGGATGGAAAGTGATTGCATTTCGGAATGTCTGAAGGATACTCGGCGGTGAGGACGAAGTCTTGTTCGGTTGTGCCACCCACTGGCTGTGTCTGCCTGATCGTCATTGCCACCTCTCCTAAATGGAAGATTTGGAAGATTTGGATCCCAAGATAAGACCTGCAAAGCAGAGGTTAATTGTAGACAGCAGTAATCAGATGTGACTTGCCTGGTCAGAGCAGTGTGAGTTTCTAGTTTGCCTGCGACCAAGGCAGTCCTTAAGGGATTTAGCATTGCCTTTGTCCCTGCCTCCTGCCCCAGCACTCATTATTAGGATTAAGGATTTGAGATCCCCGTTGATTTCATTTTTCTTCTCCACTGCCTCCTAGCAAATTGACTGTCATCGAAAGTGCCTTCTCCTCCCAGGCTCTGGCTCCCCAGGAGCTGCTCCCAGCTCCCCGAAGCTGCAGGGCTGCTCCCAGTGCAGGAACTCAGCTCGGCTGCCTGCTGTTGGTCTCCGTGTCACCAGGAGCATAAGGAGAGGATGACGGTGTGAAGTCCTGAGCTGTTCCTCTGCTGGGAAGAGAACCTCAAGCACAAGAGTCCACAGAACAAGAGCAGAGGAACTGGAGACCTCTGCCAGGTCCAGCAGCCCCCGTGGGAGGGTGTCGCTGCTGCCCATGCCAGAAGAGCCCCCCACACCACCAAGTCTGAGATGTCTGTGCTTAGGGGCTCCTGGGACCTGGGCTTCTGGGCACCCTCATCTTTGTCCTCAAGCCCTGCAAGTGCACGGGAGAGGGAGAAGGAAAGGAGGAGAGGGGGAAGGCTGGGCTGCCGCTCAGCCTGGTGCAGTTACTCAAGAGCTAAACCCTGTGGGAGCTGGGCTGTGTGGCTCTGTAAAGCTCTTGTTAGCAGTTACAGGAAGATAAGGGACTCATTTGGAACTGGGAGGTTAATTAAAGGTTGATCTCTATCCCCCAGGGAGCTGGTGGTTTTCTCCACCACCTAATCTGTGAATGGAAACGGGCTGCCTGTCTGAAAGATGCTCTCCAGCTCTGTCGCTCCACCCGGGGGCTCTGCTCGAGGTGGGGAGGACAAAAGTCCCCCTGCTGTACCCTGCAGAGGGGCTAGAAGGGCCCCACCTGGCTCCCACTTCCCGTAGGTAACTGGGAAATAGATGGGGCAAAGGAGAGGTGGTGAGAGGCAGCAGCCTCAGTAAATGCCACTGCCCATTTTTCAGACGCCTTCGGTGGGGCTTTTAAGGGAGTTCCAGGAAATCACGGTCTGAAAATAGCCAATTCCTGAAAGCAGCGTGCTCAGCTTAAAAGCCATTACGTTTTACAGCCCGGAGCAATTTCTGTGTAATCACTTTTGCCCCCAGAGCACTCAAGTAGTGGAAAGGCAAATCTCCTGCTGGCACAAAGAAGAGCCCGGGCGGGATGAGCAGCGCTGGTGTCAGGGGGCACCGAGCTGGGCAGCGGGATCGGGGCTGTCCTGGGGGTCTGGCAGGGGGCTCTGGTTGGATCCACACAGCCACCATGTGCCAGGAGGCCTGGGCTGGGATGTAGGATGTGCTCCAGGATGGGCTCGATGCCACGGTGCTGGGCACAGGGTTCAGTGGGGCAGATTGTAGGGCGGCTGTTCCTTTAGCAGCGATGCGGGTTCAGAGGCAGGCTGCTCCTGCGTGCATCGGGGGGCTCTGATCCTCGCTCCTCTGGCAAATCCCTGAGGCTGAGGCTGGAAGGGGAAGAGCTGGGGGTGTAGATCTCAAATGGGGCCGGGCTGGTGCAGAAGTGGCACCGTCTGTGCCTGGGCTGAAGGCTGCGGGCAGCAGCGGGAGGTGGGTGGCACAGGGGGGTGAGCCTGGGTAGCTTTGTGCAGGGCACCGTTCTCGTTGGGGCACTTTTCTGCATTTTGGTGCATTTTGCCAGCTCTGTGCGTGGCCCTGGCCAGCCAAGTGTCTCCACTCCATGGTGTCACGAGGGAGGTGATGGCACCGGGGCTTTTTGCACTCGCTGCCACCTCTCTCCAACCTGATGCCCCACTGCACAGCCCCGAGCGAGTTCCCCTGATCCCGGTCAGCCCTGCGGGCACTCAAACCAGCAGCGTCCCACCTTGCAGGAGCAGCCCACGATCGTTTTAATGGGTATAAATAAAGGCAGGCTCCTTTTGGAAGAGCCTCAGTGCGTCAGAGCTGCCCAAAGCCACCTCCATGGGATCGTATTGGGGGCAAAATCACCCTCATCAGGGGAAGGCGCAGTCTCGCAGGCTGATGCTCTCCCCGAACAAGCCGTTTCTTTCAGCTCTCCTTCTCCAGGGCTCCTTTGGAAGCCACGGAGATAAAAGCAATTTCCATCAATGTTTTTGCTGCTTCTCTAATGCTTTTAATTGTCTCCCGTGTCTATTTTGGGACGCTAACGTCTTACAGGCACAGCAGCAGCCTCCAGCAGATGGGGAAAATGCAGAGGCACCAGCTCTTCAACTAATCAGTTGTTTATCCTGCAATAAATAACCCACACTTAAACACAAGCTGCACCCTGCCCATCCCGCCCCAGATGAACAAACGGCCCCGGGAGCGCGATGGGATCGAGGTGGGCTGGGTTCCTGGTGCCTGAGGGGCAGGGGGACACGGCCAGCAGCACAGCCACGGCTCTGGGCTCAGCTCAGGACCAGTTTGGAGCCGCAGAGCTCATTCCTCCCTCCTCCCTAACAGCATGGGAGCAGAGCTCTGGCTCAGGAGGGCAGAGGCCATCACCCCCACGGGGCAGGTTCACAGCACACCCTGAGCACCTTCCTTACCCTGGCAGAGGCAGTTCCGAGTTGCTTTGCTTGTGTGGTGTGCGAGTCTTCAGGGGAACCACCCAGAAAATAAAACCCTCCGGCTGCAGGCCCCTCTCAGGGGGCAGGGCCATGCCCTGCATCCCTCTGCATGTTCCCTGTCGTGCTGCCCCTTTGGTGGGTGCTCGTTGGTGCTGTGACCAGGTTGTTTCTTCCTTTGCCTTGTCAGAACACGTCAGAGATGGAGGGAGGTGGAGACGGCCACCAGAGCAGCATCAACACCCTGCCGGACATCTCCCTGGTAAGGCACCGCGCTGCTGCCAGCCCCAACACCGGGTTCTGCCGCAGTTTGTCCTTGCTGTATCACCGACCGATGGGTGTCACCGAAGGAAATTAATCAGACTGCTTAGGAGGAAAGATTTGGGATGTCTGAATAAGAGCAGGGTCTGGTTGTAGGACCCAGGACAGGAGTTGTGTGCTTTGTCCTCTAGCTGGCCTCTTCTGTGGGTCAGTTTCTTATCGCCATTAATGGGTGTTCCTGTGCCAATGGGTTACTTTGCCACTGTCACTGTCCGGAGGCCGGTGACAGTTCTGTTGTTGGTTTGGCAGGATGACCTCTCGTCCTTCCCAGAGGAGCCACCCAACTTCAAGCCTCCCCCTCCTCCTTCAGCCCCCCAGATGCTGGACCCCTCCTGCAGCCCAGCACCGGAACCCGGGGAAGGACAAACCCAAGCGCCCGTCCTCCGAGTCCTCCCAGTCAGGCCTCTTCTTCGTGGCCCCCCGAAACCCCACGCCCCCCCTTAACCACTCCGAGCAGGACACAGCCAGCGTCACCTCCACCGCCACCACCTCCACCGAGGAGTCCTCCCCCGAGCCCCATCTACGCCACCATCTCCCCGACCCTGCACGGCCCCCGGCGCCAGATGGATGCCCAGCTCTCCCTGCTCAGCCAGCACCCCATCGGGCCCTTCCCCAGGGTCCAGTCCCCGACGAGGCTGAAGAGCCCCCCCGCCGAGAGTCCCGCAGCCCCCGGGCACCACAAACCCCCTTCCCCGTCCCCTCCGCCCCCTCCGGCGCACCCCGCGCCCCCACCCCCCGACAGGGGCAGCCCGCGGGCCGTCCCCAACCAGCACTTCATCATGGTGGAGGTCCACCAGCCCAACAGCGAGCCCGACGTCAACGAAGTCAGGCCCCTGCCCCAGGCCAGAGGTGGGTGTCCTGCGGGGACGAGCGGGGCCGGGGGGGTCCCCGCTGTCGTTGCTTTATTTATGGGGGTGCTGGCTTGCGGGTGGGCGCTGGGTGGTTGTGGAGGCCTGGTGCCAAGCAGGGATGAGGGGTGGCAAGTGTGTCCTGCGAGCACTGCAGGAGGTGGACTCCACCGGTCCCACTTTGTGGCCTCCTACTGGCCCAACTTGTGGCCTCCACCAGCCCAACCCACGGCCTCGGACCATCTGGGCGGGTGTAGGACCAAGGGGTGCACGCAGCCATTCCCTGGCTTCAGGGGGGATGCTCAGTGCCTGTTTCTGGCTGTGGGGTGAAAATAAATAAATCCTGGCGTTGCTCAAGGGAGAGGAGCAGGAGAAGGCAGAAGGTGAGGTCCCATGGGAGGGTGTTGGGAGAGCGAGCCCTGCATCAGGCCTCAGGTCCCTGCCTGAGCATGAGGCATTTTTGTGGGTTTCCTCGTTCTCATTGAGGGGCCCCAGAGGTGAATTTGACAATTCCTGCTCAAACTGGGGCAGCAGAGCTGGGTGAAGGCCGTGGAGGCCGCCTCGGTGTGGCAGCACGCTGCCATTCGGCATTTGTGGGTCGGTTTGCTATTTTTTTCAGAGAAAAAAAAATCAAATACAAATTTCCCTTGGGTGCTGAGGGTGCCCAGACCTGGTGCTGGTACCCCAGCTCCCCGGGGTGCCCCAGGGTCCCCCCCAAAAGCCCCGTGTGCCTCCAGGCTCCCTGGGACCCGCTGCGAGGAGCACTGTCGCCCTCCGGTGGCACCGTCCTCCCACTGCAATTAGTTAATTAATCAGCGTAATGAGGGAGCGAGGGGCTTGGGGTGCCCCTGGGTAGGGCCCTGCTTGAGGGGTGTCGCTGGGGGCATCCCAGGTGTTTTCCCCCGGTCCCTGTGCTGCTGCCACCCAGCCCCAGAGGCAGAGGAAGCTGCACCCCAATCCCTCGGGGATCAAAGGGGGGAAACAGCTCCCGCCTGGCACCTCGAGCTCCTGGGGGCTGGGGGCAAAACGCAGACCCTGGGCTGGCCCCAGCAGGATCCTGGACTCACCGTGCACCCCCACATCCCAGTTTGGGATCCCAGCTGGATCCCGGGTCCAGTCTTAGGGCCGTTTATTCCATGCACAGCTCTGCCCTTAGGGAGGGGTTCACCCGGGAACCCCACTCTAAAACCAGATCCGAGTGCCGGGGAGCCGCCCGGGCCCTGGCAGCGGGTGCCGAGCCCTCTCCTTCATCCTGTCCTCGGTCCTCGGAGGCAGAGCCTCGCCGCCGGCCTCCCCCCTGACAGCCCCCCTCTCCCCCAGCCTCCACGCTGTCCCAGCTGTCGGACAGCGGGCAGACCCTCAGCGAGGACAGCGGGGTGGACATCGGCGAGCTGGAGATGGGCGGCAAGGACAAGAGCCGGCAGCCGGTCCTCGGGAAAAGCCGAAGCCTGAAGGAGGCCGCCAGGAGCGAGGCGGCGGCAGAGGGGGCCTCCAAGCCGGTGAGGATGGGTCTGGGGTGCTCACGGGTCGGGGTCCTGTGGGAGGAGCGCAAATGGGCTGTGAAAAGGGGTCAGAGGGCTGCTGTGCTCCTCCCTGCACCCTTCCTGACCTGCCCAGGTTTTGGGGTGGCTGCCAGGGGTCAGCATCAGTCCCTGTGCTGACCGAGGGAGCGCAGCGGGCAGAGGGTGCCCAGGCTCTCTCGGCAGCCCCGCTGTCTGCCCGCAGCCGGGGCTCCTGGAGCCCACCTCCTGCCTGATCCGGGTGTCCAAGAGCGCGCCGACCCTGGGGATCGCCATCGAGGGTGGAGCGAACACGCGGCAGCCGCTGCCCCGCATCGTCACCATCCAGGTAGGGCAGGCTGAGGCTGGGAACAGCTCGGCACGCATCCCACCCCGCTGCTCCCCGTCGCTGTGGGCAGGCTCGGGAGAGACCTGCAGTCGCCTGCCATCAGTCATGGCAGCTGCAGCCCTGCCCCAGGGGGATTTTTGGGGACAGAGCTGCCCCTTGATAATCCCAAATGTCCCCAGTACCAAGGCATCGTGCTGCTAGGGGGGGATTTGCTGAGCAGCAGTGTTCTTGTGCCGTACCATAAAGCATGTCCTGGGAACTCAGGACTTGCTGCAGATGTATTTGGGGGGTCTGGGCAGCCCTGAGAGCTTGGCTGGCCCTCCAGATGCCTGGGAACCCTCTTTTTCTGCTCAGATCAGGATTGGGGAGGAGGAATGGTGGATGAGAGCTGAGGAACTGAGCCCACAGCCCCGCTCTCAGGAGCTGTCTCCTTGCACTGTTCCCCGGCTGTTTACTTGTGGCAAAATTGATGTCCCAGCACCACAAAGGCAGAGCTGAGCCTTGGTTGTTCTTGGCCACCCCAGCTGGCGCCGTGCTGTCAGCCAAGAGCCAGTGGTGTAGGGACAAAGCCAAATTCCTCTCCTCTTCCCCAAACCCAAAATATTTCACTTCCACGATGTTCACACTGACCTGGCAAGGGCCAGCCCCTGCCTCGTCTCCCCTCCCCGTGCCCAGAGCCCTGGGCTGAGCAGGGGGATGCGGATCCAGGCCATGTCCCCTTGCTTACCCCCTCCTGTCCCTGCAGCGCGGGGGCTCGGCGCACAACTGCGGGAAGCTGAAGGTGGGGCACGTCATCCTGGAGGTGAACGGCACCGGGCTGCGGGGCAAGGAGCACCGTGAGGCCGCCCGCATCATCGCCGAGGCCTTCAAGCTGAAGGAGAAGGACTACATCGACTTCCTCGTCACAGAGTTCAACGTCGCCCTGTAGGAGCCCGCCGAGAGCCTCGGGATGGGCACCAGAAGAGACGTGGGGACACCCCCACGCCCTCCCCTGCCCTGCTGCCACCTGCCTGCCATCCCCATGGGGCCGTGGGGCAGGCTGAGGACGGGCACAGCTCAGAGGCCGCATCCCCACGGGGCCGGGCACGGCGGGCGGTGAGGCCGGGGTGGGCAGCAGGACGGAGGAGGCCGAAAGGAGCCGGACACCCTGTACATTGCTGGCGCTGTCGTCGTGTGCATACGGACACGTATTGCTTGTCGTTTTGCAATAAAGCTGTCGGGTTACAAGGAGGCTGGACTGGCCTGGCATGGCTGGGCTCAGCTCAGCCTGGCTTGGCTCAGCTTGGCCCGGCTTGGCTGGGCTCAGGCTGGGCTCAGTTGGGCTCGGTTTGGCTCGGTTCAGCTCGGTTGGGCTCGGTTGGGTTTGGCCGGGCCGGGTTCATCTCGGCCGGGCCATGCTCGGCTGTGCCCGTTCCCGCCAGCGCCCCCGTTGGCACCACGCGGCCCTGCAGGCGCTGCATAAATTATGCAAATAACCCCCCTCCTCCTCCTCCCATTGGCCAGCTCCGGCGGGTTATGCAAATCCCCTGCGGGGCGCGCTTTATGCTAATCACACCCCGGCGGCGCGCTGCGATTGGCGGAACGAGCCGAAAGGGGGCGTGTCCCTGAGGGGCGCCGAGCCCCGCCCCCCCCCGCCCAGCCCCGCGCTTTGTCCGGGCCGGGCCGGGCCGGAGGCGGCCGGGGGGGGGGCGGGGGGCGCCGGGCCCCGCCCTGCAGGTGAGGGGGGGGCACCGGGGGGGGGGGGGGGAGGAATTGGGGCTGGGGGGGCCTCGTGTGTGTCTGGGGGGGGCTTGGTGGTGGTCACAGCCCTATGGGGTCCCCCCCCCCATGGGTCAATTTATGGGGGGGGGGATGGGGTTGGGGGGGGGGCTCGCCCGGCCCTATAGGGCTGGGTTTCGGCCCCCCGCAGGGTTTGGGGTCGCCGGGGGTCGTGCTTTGGGCTCGCTGTCCCCATGGCAAGGAGCGGGTCCCGTCCTCCCCCCTCCTTCAGGCTCACAAAAAACTCGGGGGGATTTCAGAAAAAAAAGCCTCGTGAGCAGGGGGTCGCCCCCGGGCCGGGTTGGGGCCGGGGGGGTGCTGGGGGCCTGCCCCAACCCCAAAAAGGGGCTTTGGGTGAGAGCAGGGACCCCAAAAACCCCGCTGCTGCTGCAGGAGGCTGGGACTGGGGCCGGTGGGCATCGCCCCCGCTCCTACCCCAAAAGGGGTCTGATGTCCTACTGCTGGGCACTGCCGGTGCTTTTTGGTCCAAAAGCTGTGATTTTGGGACATCCTCGTGCATTTGGGGGTCCGGGGCTCTGGGCAGGCTGCCCACGTGCCCAGCTTTCCGCTTGGGGTGTGCGAGGGGCCAGTACGGCACCGCTGGGGGGTCATTGGGGTCAGGCTGTGGGGCTTTGCGGGCACGAAATGTCCCCGCTGGGACAGCAGCGTCCCCCCCCCGCTGGCACCGCGGCCGTATCCAAGCTGGGGCGCGTCCTGGCTCGCAGGGGGTAATTAATGAATTAATGCAGCCCCGTTACTGTGTAATTAGCAGCACGCAGAGCACACCTTGCTGCAAGCTCCTGCTGCTATCGGAGCCTTAACGTGGCCCCGGGGGGGACATTTGGGACAGGGACGGGGTTGGGGTGCTGGGGGTGCCCTGGGGGTGGCTGCTCACCGGTGACCGACCCCGCTGCGGGGTGCATCTGCTGGGGGAAAGGCTCTGATCCCCCCCCAGTGCTGCAAATCCCCCGCATAAATCCTGCTGGAGGTGCCTGGGTGCTATTTCTGTGCAGCCGCTGCCCAGCACCAACGGGGTCACCCCAAAGCCCTGCCTGCCCCCTCCGAGCTGTATGGGCACCCCAAATCCTCCCTTAGTGCCCTGCAACCTTCCTGGGGAGCCCACACGAGGCTTTTTCCTTTATACTTTTATTTTCCCCGAGCTCTCCTCGCCCTGAGGCTGTTCCCCGGAGGGGAACGCGGGGATGCTGCTGGGCTCTGCATCTTCTCACTGTGCCCTAAAGAGCACTTTTGGCTCCGGCCCCTCTCTCGCCTGGGACGTTTCCAAACGCAGGCTCCTGGCCCAATTCCTGGCACGGGGGAAGAAAAGCGGCCCTCGAGCCCCGCGGGAGCGCTCCAGCAGCACCCCGAGGGGGGACGGGGACCCCCCAGAGCCCTGTGGGTTGGTGCTGCGGTGTTGGGGTGCAGGGGGTTAAATCGGCCCCCTCCGCCTTTTGGGGCTGCTGACCCCCAGGTGCTGATTCCTGGGCCCTGCAGAGCCGCAGCTCCTCTTGGTACCCGCGTTCATCGCCTCCCCCCTTCCCTGGCAGCATCCCCCCCCCCCTGCACTGCCCCCGGCTGCAGGTTTGGGTTTATGGTTGGGTTCAGCCACATTCGGCACCCTCCCAGAAAGCCCACTGCCAGGCAGCGTGATGGGAAGAGAGAAACCCTTTATTTATTTTTTCCTTTAACTTCCCTTTAAATGATTTGCTAGCACAGAAGAGCCCGGCCAGAAAACCACAAAGCAAATGAAAACAATCCCAAGTGTGTGTGTGCGCGGGGTTTTAATCCCACTTGAAAGCTTACATTTGGGACAAGGACCTGGGGGAGAAGTGTAGAGGAGCTCGGAGACCCTAAATCCTCCCTGCCCCTCCGTGTCCCCACCTGGGGCCATCCCAAGTGCCCCGTCCCCAGACCCCATGGGTGGAGCTGTGGGGCTGGGACCCCCAGGCCAAAAGGGTGAGACAAGGGGGGGGCAGGGGACAGGGTTTCGGTGCTGCCTGCACTAATTAATCCGGATTAATTGCCGGCAGAGATTTCTCCCCCCCTGGCCGTGCCGGCGGAGGCGGTGCGGGGCTGGGCCCCGGCGCGCGCAGCCTGCTGGGCTGAGGGCGGCTGTGGGCCCGCAGGAAGCTCCCTGCACGTTTCCGACACGCTGCGGGGCTCTGGGGGCCGGGGGGGCACCGCCACGGGGAGCTCACGGTGATGGGGACGCAATGGGGTGGGTGCCGGGGGGGTTGGGCTGCGAGCCCCCAGCCCGCTTTGCGCTCCGTGCCTTCCCTGCTTTGCGCCCAGCCCCGGCCGTGCGCCCCCAACCCCACAGCGGGGGGCTCGGGTCCCACCTCCCCTTAGGATTTGGGCTGCTCCCGGGGCTGGGGGCTCCGTTCCAGCTGCTATAAACCCCCGCAGAGCCTCGTCCCACCCCCACGGCCAGGTTTTGTCCCCGGTGCTGCTATGGGAACGCCAGAACAGGAGGGCACATCCTGCTTTTAGGGCCCCGGCGGAGCGAGCGCGCTGGGGCCTCGGCGAGGCAGGATTTGGGTTCCCCCTTCCCAGCCCCGCTCCCCCCACGCTGCTCCTCGCCCCCAGCCCCAGCCCGGACCCCACTGCCGCATGGCTCGTGGCCGTTTCGGGTGGATCGGAGCACAGCGGGGGCTCGTGGAGAGGTTGGGGGTCTTGGGGGGGCCAGGGATGAACATGTGGGGGTGGCAGAACGGGAAGGAGGTGATGGGGTGGGGGGAGCACAGGACCCCCCCCCGGTGCGTTCCTTCCCCTGGGATGTGGTGCGCACACCCCGGGTCCCCACCGCGGGGACGTCCCCTGCCCCTGGGGACGGGAAAGCCCCGTCAGGGGGTGACATCTCCGTGTGGGGAGGAGGGGACGCGTCGCACAGAGCCCGCTGTGTCCTGCTCAGCCTCCCTCCCTCTCTCCCTGCAGGATGCTGCGGGGCTGAGCGCCGCGCTCTGACCTACATTCGCCGCGAGGAGGTTCCCCAGCCCCCGGCTGCCCCCCTGCCATGAAGCGGCACAAGTGACAAGGGACAGCGTGGCACAAGGTGCCCTGCTCAGTGCCATGGCCAGCTCGGCGCCGTGGCTGCGCTGGGCACAGACGGAGCTGGGCACCGGCTGCGAGGAGCTGAAACGCTGGGAGGAGGAGGAGGAGGAAGAGGAGGAGGAGGAAGATTTTGGGAGACACATGGATGAGAACGGTGTCATCGGCCTGGGGGACGACGGGCTGGTGGCTGTCACCAGCCGGCCGGGGAGCTCGCATTTTGGGGAGGCAGCCGCCGGCAGCGTGGACCTGAGCGACCTGCAGGACTCGGGCTCGGAGGAGTGGGGCCGGGAGGATGCCGGGAGCCCCCCGTCGGGTGAGTCCTGTCCCGCTGCCCCAAAACCCTCGTGGGGGGGGACCCCACAGTAGCCAGGGGGGCTCGGGGACGGTGCGTGCTGGCTGGTGGCAGTGGCGCTTTGCAGGTGATGGCGAGGACCTGGAGGGGTCCCCAGTGGAGCCGGCTCGCTGGCACCCACGGCAGGACCTGACTGAGGAAGAGGAGGAGGAGGAGGAAGGGGAGGAGGAGGAGGAGGATGAGGAGCGGGGCAGCTCCATGGAGGATGAGCGGCTGGAGGGGCCCTGGGGGGCAGAGAGCGATGGGGAGCTGCACCCCGAGGCAGGGCCCCTCCACAAGGCCCCGGCTGTCACCACGGATGGTGGGGACACCTCGGGGCCTTCGGACACCAGCCCCGGCCCCGCCACCCCCCCAAGACGCCGCCGGGGCTGGGGCCGGGCCGGGGCCACCCATGGGAGCCGCAGGCAGGGCTGGGGCCCCAGCCAGAGCCAGCTCAGCACCCCAAAACCCCGCTGGCAGCAGGGCTGAGCCTGGACCACAAGCCTTTGGGGAGCCCCCAGACCCCGCACCAGAGGCCCCGAGTGCCCGAGCCCGGCCGGCTGTCGCGGTCCCTGAGCCCCCGGCGGCACGGCGGTGCCAAAAAGCCTGAAGGAGACCCCCGAAGGCTGCCGGTACGGCCGGGGGCAGCTCAACCACCCCCTGCCCGACCTCTCCAAGGTGGAGGCGCGGGTGAAGTTCGACCAGAGCTACCGCCCGCCGCCCAGCAGAGCCCTGCCCGCCCGCGCCAGGACCCCGGGCGGCCCCCTGGTCCCCAAATCCCCCGCCGAAATCGTGCGGGAGGTGCTGCTGAGCAGCGGGGAGGGGGCCCCGACGCAGCCCCCCGCGCCCCCCGGCGTGCCGCAGGAGCTCAGGTCCCCCCGGCAGGCCACGGCGCTGGTGCAGCAGCTGCAGGTGAGGCCCAGTGCTCCCAGTTTGGGGGCTGTACTGGGAGGGGTTGCGGGGGGGCCTCGGGGTGTGAGCGGAGCGGTGTCACCCCTCTGGGGAGCTGTGGGGTGGGGGTGTTGGGTCTGGTGTCCCCTTCCCCATCCCGTGAGGACCCAGCACCTCCAGGACTGGAGCCAGGGCTGCTTGTGGCCCCCCCATCTGCTTGTGTCCCCCCCCCGGTGCCCTCCTGTCCCCCGGGAGGAGAGGGAGGCTCCTGTCCCCCCCCATGCAGGGGATCCAGGGCCACCTCCAGGGCTCCTTGTCCCCCCCTGCGCTGGGCTGCCTCCTGCCACCCCACCCCGGTGGCCGTCCCCATGACACGGGGACGTGTCCCCCCCCCCCCGGCCCTGCAGGAGGACTACCACAAGCTGCTGACCAAGTACGCCGAGGCCGAAAACACCATCGACCAGCTGCGGCTGGGTGCCAAGGTGGGTGCCGGGTGGGACCCGAGGGGACAGGAGGTGGTGGCACTGCCTGAGGGGACACGTGGTGGTGGTGGTGGCACTGCTGGAGGGGACACACGGCGGTGGCAGCAGTGCAGCGCCTCCCCTGTGCCCCCCGTGCCTTCCTCCCCAGCCGCGCTCTTCCTCCCGACAGAGCTGCGGTTGAGGAAGGGTGGCGGTGGGGCCGGTGATAGCGCTGTCACCACAGCGAGTCACCCTTCCTCCCTGCGCCGGGGCGGTGCCGAAACCTCCCCAAAATGGCCGGGGAGGCTGCTGCAGGGCACCAAAATGGCGAGGAGCACCCGCGGGGCCGGGGGCGTCCCCGTGCCCTCCTGCGCTGAGGCAGGGCACCGGCGGTGCTCGGGGTGTCGCTGGGGTCTGGGGGGCACCCATGGGTGCGACTGCTGCGCTGCCAGGCTCCCACCCAGAGGGGCTCCGTGCCTCAAAGTCCTGGGTGCAGTCCCCGTGGTGCCTTCATTTCGGGGTGTGGGGTTTGGGGTGCTGTCCCCGGGGTGCCCGAGCCGTCTGTCCCGGTGCAGGTGAGCCTTTACGCCGACCCGCCCCGCGCCAGCCGCAGCGCCCACGCCGGCACCCTGGGCAGCGGCTGCAGGGTGATGGCCTTCAGCATCCCGCGGGCCAGCACGGCCACCGTCAGCACGGCCCCAAACCCGAACCCGAATCCAGCCCCGACCCCACCGCTCTCAGTGAATGGAGGTGGGTTGAGCGCTGCGAGGGTCGGGCACCACCCAAACCCGTCGGGGTCCACGGCTTGCCCCGTAGCGGGGGAAGCAGCGCCGGGGGGGTCCCCCCAGCATCACCTTGTGCTTGTTGCAGATCTGGGACCGGCTGAATGGGGGATGTCCCAGCGGCCCTGCTCCCCCTTCTCCTCCTCGGGGGGCTGCCCCACATGTGTGGGGCAGTGCCGGTGCCTGGGGCCGCAGCTCACGCAGGACGCTGGCAGGGCAGACCCGCAAGCTTCAGGCACAGGCAAGTCCCGGGTGGCTGTGGGGTGGGGAGCACGCCCCTGATCCCCCAGCATGGAGCGGGCTCGTACCCCGGCTCAGCCCCTTCTCCCCAAACCAGGTGGAGTCCTTCGAGAGCTGGCTCCATGCAGGGAGCGCGGTGCCGCAGGAGCAGCTCCAGGTGCGTCCTTCCTAGGGCTGCACGGGTTCCCCGGGCTGGGGGAGCCCCTCGCTTTTACCCCCCCTGCTGTCCCTGGGGGGCTCCGTCCCCATTCCGGGAGCAGCAGGGTGCAGCCCCAGCACTGAGGGTGGTTTTGGGGCTGTGTGGGGCCGAGCTCTCAGGCTGCCCTTGCCCTGCAGCGGTTCCGGCGGCTGAAGGCGGCGCAGGACGCGCTGGAGCGGGCGTACCTGCGGGCACGGGAGGAGCACGGGCAGCAGCAGCAGCACCCCGCAGCCTCGGGGGACTTCGACCCGGAGCGGTGAGCAGTTCGGCAGGGGGCATGTGGGGGGGTTCCTGGGGTTGTGCTGCTCAATTTGCCCCTGGCTGTGGGGTGGGAGCGCTCTGCTGGGCTCCTGCTGGTTCTGGCTGTGCCGTTTGCTGGGGGTGCCGCTGAGCTGCCCCGTCCCAGCCAGCAGCGACCCCGACCCCACTGCTCCAGGCCCTTGGCAGGAGCAGCCCCCCCAGGCTGGGTGTCCCTCGGGTACTGAGGGCTGCTGTATTTCAGCGCGGTGGAAGGGGAAATATTCTGCCTGGGGATGCGCCTGGAGGAGCTGAAGGAGCGGCTGGAGCGAGCAGCGCGCCCCCCGGGCTCCCCGCGCCCCCAGCTGAGCCCAGCGGTCACCGAGGGTCCCCCCAGCACCCAGGGGACATCGGGGGACGGCGAGGCTGGTGGCAGGGGGGCTGCCCCGGCCCCTCTGGCACAAGCAGCACCGAGCAGAGGAGGACTTCGGGGACCTGCTGGAGCAGTAAGTGCCCCTCATGGGGTTTTAGGGGGGGCAGCTCCCGGCACCCCAAACCCACCCGCTGCTGCCTGCACCTCGCAGGTACCAGCACTTCAAGTCCTTGCCGGCATCGCTGAGCCTGGAGCGCCTGAGCCTGGCGGGCAGCGGCTCCCTGGAGGAGGCGGATGGCCCTGCTGGCAGGGGACCAGTGGCCCCAGGGCAGGTCCCCTGCAGGGCACGGTCACTGGAGGAGGGCACCGACCTCGAGACCTCCCCCTCGTAAGTGCTGTGGGCACACGGATGCCCCATTTAGGGTGAGCGGGATGGCTTGGGGAGGGTTGTGCCTCGAAGCAAGCCGGCTGCCCGGGCTCCCCGTGTAGGTGGAGGGCGTTTTAGGAGACGTTGGGCATCGTGTGCGTGGTGTGCCGGGTGTCGGTGCACGGGGATTGAGGCCCTTTGGAGACCGCCTGCCCCACACGGTCCTCACCCTGATGGGCTTCGGGGTTAATGGGGCACCTGGCTGCTCGGCCCCACTCCTCACCCTCTGCCCTCTTCCCACAGCCCCCCCCCGCAGAGGAGAGCCGTGCCGCTGCCCCACAGGGACCCCCTGCGGCTGGAGGGGACCCGCTGGCCACCACCAGGAGCCCCCAGCTGCCCCCCGGCCGCCACCACCGGTGCTCCCCGATCCCCTGCCACCGCGGGTGCTCCCGTCCCGGCACAGCAGCGGGGCGGGCAGCGCTGGCACCCAGCGCCGACCCCTCAAGCCCTGCCACCAGGTGAGCGCTGGGGGCGGTGGGTCCCCGCTGGCCGTCACCCTGCAGGGGTCTCCCGGGGGTGCAGGGCACCCGTCCCGCTCCCAGTTGTTGCAGGAGCAGCGCATGGTGTCGCCGGAGACGGACAGCGGCTTCGTGGGCTCGGAGGCCAGCCGGGTGTCCCCGCTGGTGCGCACCCCCGAGCATCGCCCCCTGGGCACCGGGTACGGCCCTGGCGCCCTCCGAGGGGATTTGGGGCACGGGTGGGGGGAGAGAGACGGAGAGGAGCAGGGAAATGGGGTGTTGGGGGTGGTTGGGGCGTGGGTGGGATGTGGGGGGCTGTCTCCATGCCCTGTCCCTCCCCAGGACGCCAGGCTCGCTGGGACCACCCGCCCCCATCCCCGCACCTCTCCGTCCAACGCAGCAGAAGGATGCGCAGCCGCTGCCCCCCGAGAAGAAGCTGTTGGGCACCTACCCGTCCCCTGGGCACGTGCCCCCCCGGGGCAGCGTTGAGGGGCCCAGCCTGCCCCCCAGCACCGCCTCGCACAGCAGCTCCCCCCAGCTCTGGGCCGAGAGCCCGGGCAGCAAGCTGGGACCCCACGGTGCCGGCGGTGAGCGGCCAGCCCCCGGCACTGCCCCGCGCCCCCCGCCACCACCTTCACCGCCTCCTGCCCCCTCCCCAGCTCACAGCGACTCGGAGGGGGGGGGCAGGAGCTGCGCCAGCGCCTGCAGCCCCCTGCCCGGGGGGGGCACCGCCTCACCATCCCCTGCCCTGGCTCCCTGCGACCTGCTGGGCTCCCGCGTGGAGCGCGAGTGAGTCGGGGTGGGAACGGGAAGGGGGTCCCTGAGTTTATTCTTCGGGTTGGTGTCTTTTTTTTGGAGGGGGGAGCTGGGTTTGGGAGAGCAGCCCCTGGGTAGGGCAAACTCGTGGCACGCATAGGCTGGCTCAGCTCTGTGGGCACGGCAGCCCTGAAATGCCTCGCGCTGGTTTGGAGGGGGCATGGGATGCAGTCCCATGGTGGTTATAGGGATGGGTTTTGGGGCTGGGGCTGGTCCTGGGGCTGTCGGCCCCCCCCTCACCGTGCCTGTCCCCCTGCAGCCAGGCCATCCGGGCGCTGCAGGACGAGGTGTGGCGGCTGCGGCGGAGGCTGGAGGAGAGCCTGCGCCGCTCCCGCAGCTACCCCGAGGGAAAGACCCCCCCGCGGGGCACCCAGGCCAGGAGGCAGCCGGCAGCGAGTGGCCCCTCGTCCCCCCAGGACACAGCGCCCACGGGGTAGGTGGCACGGCAGAGCCCAGCTTTACCCCAAAACGACAGCGGGAACCCAAGCGGGACCTCGGGAGGGGACAGCAGCCTGGCCGCGGGTGGACACCCGGGGGTCCCCAGGGATGCCGTGAGCGGGGTGGGGTCCCTCAGAGGTGCCCCCCTCCCAGCAGCACCAGTGGTGGCATCGCGGTGCCACCAGCCCCAGCTGCAGACCCGGCTGGGTGCTGATGGTTTTGTGCCCTCCACAGGGAGCCGAGCCCCCCGGCACGGGGCAGGGTGGCCCCCCCTGCTGTGACAAGGGGCAGGTCGGCATCGCTGCCACGGGACAGGACCGAGCTGGACCTCAGTGAGTGGGGACCACACTGGGGAAGAGGGGGTGGTGGAGAGGGGCTGGAGGGGACCAAGGGGACCGGGCACATCCCGGTGACCCCATGGGACCCGGCACAGCCCATGGCCAGACCCTGAGACCAGCCCCAAATCCTTCCCTGCAGGCTCGGAGTTGGGCCACTCGCTGGCTGGGCACAGGGACGGGTGGCACCAGGGCACCCCGGCCGCACAGAAGCGCTCTCGGAGCCCCCCGGGCACGGGGACGGTGCGGGGGCAGTACACAGGTGGGTGCAGGGCAGGCTGACCCCACAGGGCGGGTGATGGGGGCTGCCCTCCCCTGGCCCTGCTGACACCGGGACTTGCAGGGACGCGGTACCGGGTGCCACCGCCCGGCACCCCGGCACCCCGAGGAGAGCCGAGCACCCCGGGGTGCCCCCAGTGCCACGGGAGCAGGATGGCACCAGGTGAGCATCCCTGACCCCATCTGGCTGCTTCCCAAGCCTGTTAATTAATGACTTCAGGCATTAATTACTTGATGCACAGGGAGCTGGGGCTCTCCACGCTGTCCCTTTTCCGGACCCCATGGCAGAGCCATGGGTTCATGCAGGGAGACGGCTTGGGTGCCCTGCCCCGCTCCCTGCTGTGCCCGTTCCCAAATGCCTCGTGCCTTCCCCACGCTATTTTCTGGACGTTTCCTCCCTCTCCCTGCAGCCGGACCCACGACGGGCGACGCCGTGCGGCAGCCCCAGCAGAGCACCCCCAGGACACGGCGCTGCCCCACGTGCCGGGCACCCCGAGCTGGCCCCACGGCGAGCAGCAGGGACGGAGCCGCACACGGTGCGTGGCAGGGGCAGGCCCTGGCTCCGGGGGGGGGACACGGGGACAGGGGACACCCCCTCCGTTAACCCCAGCGCCTTCCTTCCCACCACAGAGCTTGGCACCGATGCCACGTCCTTGCCAGGCTCCCGTCCCCGAGCCGAGCCGCCGGAGCAGCCGGGACTGTGGTACCTGGCAGGCGGCCCCCCCGTTGGATACCTCGCCCCCGTGCCCCTCGTGCCTTACGCGCCCCCCCTGCTGTAAGGATGCTCTGCACTTGGGGGGGGGGCTGGATTGTCCCAGGGGGGCCACGAACACCCCAGAGCTGCCCCATGGCCCCTGGTGTGGCCACGGACCCCATGCACTGGGCAGGGCTGTGGGAGGGGGGTCCCAGCTCTTTTGGGGTGGGGGGCTGAGGTGTTGGGGGGGGCAGATGGGTGAGATTTGGGGGCATTTAAGAAAAAAATAATGGAGGGGGGAGCAGACTGGGGGGGTGCAAAGCTGTGAGATGTCCCCATGCGATGACCCCTGCTTCTTCTCCTTGTCTTCTCCTTGTCTTCTTCCTCCTCCCCCAGCTACTGCTCCCCAGGCTGTCCCTACCTCAGCCCCGACCCCCCCGCCGTGCCCCCCCCCGGGGCTGCCCCTGGCGGACCTGGAGGAGCTGCAGCGCTCCCTGGGCCGCGCCGTGGCCGCCGCTCAGCGCGCCAGGAGCAGCACCAAGAGGCTGGGCCGCTCCCTGGCCGCCGAGCTCAGCAGGGCGCGGGGCCTGCGGGGGTCCTGCCTCTTCTGAGGGCCCCCCCCGGGTGAAGAAGACGAGGAGGAGGATGAGGATGAGGAGGATGAGGAGGATGAAGGCTGTCCACGAGGGCACAGCCCCCGCCGGGGGGATGTGTCCAGGGCACCCCAGTGGCGGTGCTCAGGCTTCGTGTAGGCCCTACCACAACACAGGCCCCGTTTGCAGCTGTGTTTGCCCCCCTGCCACGCCCGTGCAGAATTAGCCATTTTTTGGCAGCCACATCTCGCTGATTTGACCATTCCAGCTGTTTTTAGGATTTTTATTTTTTTGGGTACGTCGCAGCTCGCCGGCTGCCCCCAGACCTCGCCCCAGCAGCGCCCGCACTTAACCCCCACCCTGCTGCGTCGCGAGCCTCTCTTTTGGGTCCAAACCTGGGGTTTTTAGGTACTGTCCCTGCATTCCAGCCCCGTTGGGCACCCTCCTGGGGCTCAGCCCCACAGCTCGGCCCTAATGCCCTGTGCTTTCTGCTCTGCCCGGTAAAGCCCCCACTCCTGCCCCGTGGGGCTGTACAGCAGCTCTGTGTGTAGGCAGCTATTTGTAGGTACGTGTCTGCGGTTCCTTTTTAATTTCCAGCAGGATTTTGAGGGCATTCAAGGTTTTTTTTCCCATAATTTATTGCTGCCGCTCTGAAGCGGCCCCTGAGCGGGCGCCTGGTGGTGGGGATGGGGGTGCTGGGGGGGGGCTCTGGGGTCCAGCCCTGCACGTGGCTGCTTGTGCCTGTGTCCAGGCAGAAAATGAAGGGATTTGGTGTTTTCCTTGGGATTTCCAGGGAAAGTGGAGGGAAACGTGTCCGGGGAGACCCAGGCATGGGCAGGATGCGGCCCCGAGGCACTCCCAGGGTGGTTTTATAAAACACCCATTTTTATTTTTTTTTAGCTAAATGGGTGGGATCAGACACCTTGTGCACCGGCACGAGGGCCCCGACGAGGTCCTGTCCCCAAGTTGGGAACAGCCAAAATCCCCCCCCCTCCCCGCTCAGAGCCCCTACGTTTGTGTAGGACCTACCCAAAGTGCCCGCCTCGAGCTTATTTATTGCTGAACTTGCTCATACAAAGACCCATTTTGGGGGGATCGCTCATGCCCAAGGTGACTTTACTCAGGTCGGGAGCCTCCCCGAGGGCTTGCAAAGCCACCAAACCCCTGTCCCGTCCCGGGGCCACCCCACGGGGCCGGGTTTGGGCTCTGCTGGCATCGCCTCCAGGTGGGGGGGATGCCCCCAGCCCCGCTTCGGAGCCTGAAACGCAGCGGTGAGGAGCACAGACGTATTTCCCCACACTTCCTATTTTGTGATACCCCACAGAGCCACTCAGACGGTTATTTTGTACGAAGATAATTGCCTATTTTTTAACGAAATAAACGCCGTTGTTTTGCTTTCTGGTCTCCCCTCTCGTTTTTAAGCTCTCTCTCGGGGACGCTGCCCTCGGGGTCACCGCTTCGCCTCACCCCGGGGCTGGTTTTTTTCTGGGGGGGGGCACACCCCAAACCCTGCCTCCCCCCGCCCCGCAGCCCCCAAGCAAGCGGCAGGCGCAGCCTCCTTGCACTGGGTATGGAGATCGCGTTTATTGAGCCACTCGAGTGCTTGTACAGAACAGCTATACAGAGATGATACATGGTTGTGCTTCAACACCGTCAAACACTTAGATTCCAGTAACTTCAAGGTAAACAAGTTCCAAGACAGACTAGATTTTTTTTTTTTTTTAGTTTTTCTTTTTGATAAATTATTTTTTATATAAATAACTGTAACAGAAAAAAAAAATAATAATAATAATAACGTCCAACATACAGGATCCTGAAGCGTTTTCGCGTTGCTAAACTGAGAAGGAACTCAAACGGGGCGGGAGGACCAAGGGGGAACCGACAAATATCAGTGCAATGATACAGCCTTTGCCCTAAAAATATATATTTAACTTTATGGGCAAGGAGCAGACAGGGAAAGGAAGGAGAGGGGAGAACCACCAACGAGGCAAGAAAGAGATTTCGGGGAAGGAAAAGGGGGTCACAGCCTTAAGAGGGAGGGAACAGAAGAGAACAAAACGAAGGACCCCAAAATATTGCAGTGCATCTAGTGGCGGGGCGGGGGGGGGGGCAATCCTGGGACGTAAAAAACAAAAAATCCGAGGAGTTTTGGTTAAATCACTATACACCAAGCTGTAAGAACTGCACGAGACACAGAATTCATATACACAGGGTCCGCTGGGGGGCCCGGGGGGCTGCGGGGCCTCGGGGCGACGGCACGCTCGGGAACGCTTCACCACGGGGGGGACACGAGCGGGGTGGGGGCCTCATAGCTTCCTTGTCTGCAGGGATATATATATATATGTGTGTGTGTGTGTGCTGCCTGTTAAAAATATATATATATATCTGTGGGCTGAAGGAGGACGCAGCCTGACGGGGAGGGAAGGGCCGTGCAAGCAAACGGGTCCCGTCCGCGGGGTTTGACCGTTCTGGTCCCTTTTTGCGTGGGGATTTGGGGTAGCGTGGGGCAGAGCCACCCCCCCCGTCCCCTGCCAGATGTTGGCACGCACATCTGGGGGGGCAGCCGCCCCCAAATCCAAGGGAAAGGGCACCAGGGAGGGGGGGGCTTCTACCCCAAAAGGAGCTGGGGAGGAAACACCGCCAGCAGCAGTGCGGGCGCCATGGGGCAGGAGGGGCGGCCGGCTGCCCGTCCGTCCCTGCAGGAACCCAAAGGGGAGGGAAAATTTCAGGGAGGGTTTTTTTTTTTTTTTTTGGCATTTTCCTGTTATTTATGTCGCTGCCATTTGCGGGTCACTGGGAGATGAGCTCCCCAGACAGCAGGCAGCTCAGGGTGCGGGTATCAGTACGTTTTTTTGGCCACGCCGCAGCGCGTCTCCTAACGCGCTTGCATCTGGGGTCCCTTCCCTGTGCTGAGAGGGGGACAGGGAAGGAGCAGGGGGGGCTCAACACAAGAACAAGAGAGAAAGCTCGGCCGGGCCAGGGTCGGGTAGGGTTTGGGTTTGGGTTTGGGGACGGGGACGCGGTTCGGCGCAGGAGCGCGCCCCGGGCCGGGTGCCCGGCGGGGGGGGTGCAGTCGGCGTCGGGTCGCTGGCGGCGTTTCCTTTTAACTGCTGCTTTCCTCCTCTGTTTTATTGAGCTTCTTCAGCGTGTCCAGCAGTTTCTGTGGGGTGAGGATGTGCGTGGACCCTGCGGGGGGCAAGAGGGCGAGGGCAGTCAGCGCCGGCTTCGTGCGTCCCCCCCATGTCCCAGCTGATGGCCCTGCTCCTCCCCCCTCCCCAAAAAGGGTCCCCGGCCCCCCCCGGCGAGGCCTTACCTGGCGGGAGGGTGCGCACGCAACTGGAAATGCTTGCACAGAAATGAACGCCCATGGGAGGAAAAAACGGGGAAAGGAAAGGCAAAGGAGAGATGGAGGAGATGGATGGAGCTGGAGGGCGGCGGGATGAGGCCGGGGGGGCCGGGAGGTGCTGGGGGGCGCAGCGGGGATGGGGACGATGGGGACCCTCCTGTCCCCATCCTGCAGCGGACACCTGCGGGGGGCATCGGGGTGGGAGGAGCATCGCAAGGGGGGGCAGCAGGACGCAGCACTGAGCATCCCTGGGCAGAAGGGGTGACGGGGGGGGGGGGGAAAAAGGGGTCAGAGAGGAGGAGGAGGAGGTGAAGGGGAGGTCCTGACTTTGGCAGCCCTGCTCCTGCCTGGCTGCGCCCTGCCTGGCCCCCGTGTTGCAGGGGCTGCTTCTGCCTGGAGCAGGATGAGGCCAGCACGATGCTGGGCACCACATCCCCGTGCCCGAGCGCTGCTGGTGGCAGGAGGACGGACCTTTGTCCCCATGAGCCCCGGGGGGGGGACAGCACGTGGCCCTGCCCCATCCTGGGGAGGCCACCACACCGCCACCGCGAAGAGCCAAGCAAAACCAAGATTTCCTACAGAACCGAGGATTTCAGCCCAATTTCTTCTCCCCTGAGCACACCGCAACGGCGAGAGGAGCCGGGGCAGGCGGCGGGGGCTGCCCCACGCACACGCAGCCCCCCCGGGACAGCGCTCCACCTGTCCCCGAGCGGGTGGGACCTGCCCCGCGTCCCGGCCCCTCCGGAGCGCGCGATGGGGAGCGGATGGCATGAGGGGGCCGGCGGGGCCGGAGCCATGGCGGGTGATGGAGGCGGCGCTGGAGGCGTTCCAGCCCAGGAACTGCAAGCATTTTCTCATCAACGGAACCCGAAAGGAAAAGCAAACCGAAATCATAATTAACGGAAGGACGGAAGAATCAAAGAAAGCCCTTCGGGGAGGAAGAGTTTCTTTTTTCGTTAGTAGGCTGCCTTTACTTGGTTTCTTTGGCTCACTCCATTGCTGGAGCCTGATCCTCAAATGATACCCTAGTGGAGTCCCTGAAGTCGGGGTGCCTCAGGTCCATGAGAAATTTGGTGGGAGTGAGAATGTGAGTAGAACCTGCGGGAGAACAGAGCGGGGCTGACGTCCCGGCCACAGCCCCGGGGGGCACACAGCATGCACCGGCGCCGGCCGGGGAGCCCGCGGCAGCTCGGGCGCATTTTGGGGAGGGGGGACAATGACGAAGGATGCACCGCCCGCCCCGAGCATGCGAGGACGGTGGGCGCGGAGAGGTGCACGGCACGAGATGGGCGAGACGCGGGACGGCGACGGGTCTGGGGGCAGGTGGGGGATGGCGACCGGCTGCCCGAGCCTGTCCTGGGCCCAGCTGCATTCCCCTGGGGGTCTCAGGGGTCTCGGAGCCCCCGCTGGCAGCAGGCAGCGCTGCCACCGTGTGCATCACGCCTGAGCGAAGGGTGCCGAAGGCGGGCACGCTGCGCGGGGCAGGGCGCACGCACGGCACGTGTCCCGCTGTGCCTGTGGGCTGTGCCGGGTTGCACACACCCCTATTGCACACCCGCTGCGTGCCGGGTTGCACAGCGCTTCCTTCCTCCTGCGACACGGCCCCAAAGGAGCACCATGCAGCGCTGGGGGCAACGGGGCCAGCGCCGGCTGCACCCCCCCCCCCCAGCTCCTGCACCTCGCGCAGCAAAACTCACCCAGGCGACGAAGAGGGGGGCAAAGAGGGGGGCGGCTGGGGGGTCACGCTGTGTCCCCAGGGGGGTGACACCGGCAGGACGCCTCGGCGCAGGGGCCCTGCAGTCACCTGGAGGCCGGATTTGGCGGCGGCGGCGCAGGGCGAGCGTGGGATGAGCAGCGGGCGGGGGGCGCGGGGCCGGGCCCCCACTCACCTATTAGCACTTCCCACTTGCCGCTGGCTTGCGTCACCTCGTAGGCGCAGCGCATCTCGTTCATGCTCACCCCTCCCAGGATGAAGATGATGAGGCGGGGGCCGCTGCGGTACTCGCCGGGGGCCTTGTTCTTGTGCCAGTGGCCGTAGCGGGCACTAGAGAGGGAGGAGAGGGGTTAGGGACGGCTCTGACAGCAGTGGGTTAGCTTATTAAAAATAAAAAATAAAATAAAATAAAATAAAATAAAAATAAATAAAATAAAAATTAATTAGTTCCCAAATTGCTGTAAGAGCAGGTGATGTCCTCGGTGCCTTCCCAGCCACGAGGGCGTCCTGTTTTCTGTTCGGGGTGGGGAAACTGAGGCACGGGATGGCCGCGAGGGGGAGGGCAGGGGCTGGGTGCCGCGGGACCCACCTGACGGCGGTGGTGCTGAAGGAGGCGGAGGAGCGGGTGGAGATGTAGGGGTAGTGCTTGGTGTCCAGCTTGTCGTCGATGGCATCCTGCGGGGCACAGCCTCAGTGAGCAGCCGGGCGCTGCCCCACACCCGCGTCCCCGCTCCTCCCTCACCCTGCTCCCAAACCCCAGCAGGGTGCAGCCCCCAGGGCACAGACACCAGGCAAAGCCCTATCAATTCAATTACGTGCTGTTCATTTGCATATATTTGCATACATTTGCATCGGGTGGCTTTGGGGGAGGATTTGGTTGAGCTCCTGAAATTCGGTGCAGCTGGGAGGGGAAGGTGGTGCCTCTGCTGCGGGGACAGGGGCAGCGCAGGGGCTGCAGTGGGGCACGGGCTGAGGCTCACCCTAACCTCGAGGTGCCTCCCAAGGTGGGGAAAGGAGGCCGGGGTCTTCCTCATTTTGTTTTTCTGAGAGCCTCAAGGGCTGGAGCTGATCTCCAAGCGTCCCAGCTGGGGGACCCAGCCCTGGGTAAGGTAAGGAAGCTGCTGCTTTGTGCTCGGTGACCACAGCAGGGGGATTAACGTCACCTGCGAAGCTGTTTGCTGGGACCTGGCTGCGCTCTGCAGACCCCACAGAGCTCAGGGATCAGCTCCAGGGTGCCCCAGGTGCAAAACGGGGCGGGGAAGTTTGCACGGAGCTGGGTGGAGGAAGGCAGGAGCGAGGCTGCGTGCTTTTGGAAACGAAGGGAGCTGCGGTAACCTGAGCGCAGGGCTGGGCTTTGTACTGTGGGGACGCTCAGGACGCGGTGCTCTGGGAGCTGCTGCAACCCCCCAACAGCCCGGTGTGCACATGGGGGCCAGGGAAGCTTCCCAAATCCCCCCCTACCTTGGTGCAATCACAAAGAAACCCCCACAGCCACTGCCCGCGTGGCACCACGGGGCTGTGAGTGGCGCGAAGGGTGCACTGGGGAGATGTGCCAGCAGCCCCCTGCTCCCCACAGGTCCCTGCCCAGTGGTGCTGAGGTCCCTGCTGTCCCCCCCGTCCCCGCCGTCGCTGTCTCACCTCCATGATGTCCTTAATGACGGGGGTCCATCGGGAGAGCTGGTAGGTCTGCTCGCTGATCCGCTCCTTCCGCTCTGGCTTGCTCCGGCGGCGCAGGGTGGACTGGGCACGAGGACGGGGACACCCTGAGCCACGGGAGGGCCACCCCAACAGGGACGTCCCGAGGGACACGAGCAGGGTGGGGGCCTTCTCGGGGGCTGAGGGGGGGGCGGGAGGTGGACACTCACGTCTGTGATGATGGGCACCCCGAGGTGGGCCATGTTGGTGATGATCTCGCTGTCCTCTGCCGGGATCTGGGCGTGCTGGATCAGCTTGTTCAGGTTCTCCTCGGTGATACCTGCAGAGAAATGGGGAGATTTGGGAAAATGGGACCTGCTGAGGAATGCATGCGAGCGGGGACACGGCCCCTCGGCATCACCTCAGGACACCTGGCTGGGTGGCAGTCACACAGGGCTGAGCTTTTCCACCCAACTTTTGCTGGCCCAATGCTCCCGGAGCTGCCCACATCCCTTCTCCCCCCGCCCCGCTCTCCTCCTCACCATTCTTCAGGAAGATGTACAGCAAGATGATGCGGATCTTGTCGTAGGTGCTGACGTTCCCGTCCAGCAGGATGGGGACGATGGCCCTCATGGGGTCCTTGATCTTCTCTCCTTCAGCATCGGTGCCCATGGCCAGGTCCTGCGGAGCACGGGCGCGCTCGTCACCACTTGGTGGTGGCTCTGGGCTGCTGGGCAGGAGCTGCTGTCCCCAGGCCATCCCATGGGGTTACAGAGGGGGTGTGTGGGGTGCCGGTACCTGTTCAACTCTGCAGAGCTTGTCCACCGTGCCCTGGTAGTGCTTCATGCAGTCCTCGGCCAGGTGCAGGTGAGTGGAGTACTGGGGAGAGACACACAGGGACACCCTTGAAGGGCTGGAGCACACCAAGGTCCCCGTGCCACCACCCCAAAGCTGCCAGCCCCAGCCCGGAGCCACCTTCCCACTGGGAAAGCCACCTTTGGGTGCTCCCCGTGAGGCTCAGCACCAGTGGCCCTGCTCGGACCTTTCCCCTGCTTTACCTTGCTGAGCTCCTTCTGGTACTGCGGCATCTTCTTCAGCATCTGGGACAGGTCTCTCATGGTGGTCTGCGAGGGAAGGGGACGAGGTCACCCCGGGGGACCTGGGGCCAGGACCCTGCCCAAACCTCCCCCTCTGTTGGGGTTTGGTGGGACACGTGTGCACCCCGTGCCGGGGGGACCCTGGTGCCCCTCCAAGGGCACCTTCCCCATTCCCTCAGCCCCAGGTGTGGGGTCAGTGCCCCATGGCTCCCCCCTGCCCATCAGGAACCCTTTACAGGTATCCCCGTAAGGCTTTGCTGTATCCTGGCCCTTGGGTGCCTGCGCTTGCCCGGAGGTGTCACCTTATCGCCTGTGTTCATCCTCTTGCTCGATGAAAACTCCTTCAGGGACCGGGTCACCTCCCTGGGGACAGGAGGAGGGCGCAGCCATCAGCACAGAGGGACCGACCCGAGGGGCCGCTGGGTGCCCAAACGCACCCACATGGGGCAGGGGCGGCAGCGAGGCACCCCGGGGACACTCACTGGGACACCTCCGCGATGTGCTTGTGGCGAAGGGACACCCAGAGGTCGTCGTCCTCGTCCAGGAGAACCTCCTTAACCCGGGCTTCCCCGATGCCGCTCGTCTCGTACCTGGGAAGAGGGCAGGAGCGGGGAGGGGACGGGGCACGTGGTCACACGTGGCTCTGGGGGGGGACATGGGGCAGGTGGGGGCTGCTCTGGGCTCTGCCAGCGATGGGGCAAGGTTATTTCAGTTTGATTTAATTCCCACTGCCTTGTACCCATTTATAGGTTGGGAGGGGGTTTAGAAAAGGCTTTTGCATCAGCCCCGGGTGCCTGGGTGCAGGTGAGCACGGGGGGGGCACTCACTTGTAGACGTCGTTCTCGATGGGCAGCAGGTCGTAGCTCATGGCCTGGAAGGTCAGCTCGTGCAGCACCGGGGAAGCGGGGTCGAAGCCACGGTCCAGGATGAGGAGCTGGGAGCGAGCTTTGTCCGGGCCCTGCCGAGCCACCGGAGCCGTCAGCAGCGGTCCCCACGTCCCCGCTGCCACCACCCATCAGGGGGTGCCCCCTGAGATGCGCCCCCCGTGCCTCCCCCTGCTCACCTCGCCCATGGTGGGGTCGTCAGCCTTGTAGGCATCCAGCTTGTCCTGGATGAGCTGCGCCAGCATGGCGTTGTCTTTGTAGTCCCTGCGGAAGGAGGAGGAGGGAATGGTCCTTTTCCACTCTCCCCGGGGAATTTGGTGAGCCCCCGGGTGCCCCCGCGTGCCCCTCTGTGCCTCCTCACCCGCGGTACCGCACGGCCGGGTACTCCTTCAGCGTGGCGCACAGCGTGGCGATCTGCTCCGCCAGCCGCTCCAGGATCGGGTTCTTCATCTGGGCCTTGTGGGGGCTGTAAAAGCTCTGGAAGGAGTCGGCCGAATCCAGGGAGTAGACCTGGGGAGCACAGCGGGGAGGGCGCTTAGCGGGGCCAGGACGCAGGGACATCAAGCAGTCCCCGGCAGGTCGGGGAACCTGACCCAAACCCAGGCAGGTGCCGGGTCCTGGCTGCAGGTTTGGCAATGTTCGGGGTGTCCTTTGGGGTTTTGGCCGCCACCACCATGCCCTGAGCCCCTCCCCAGCCCCTGCTCCTTGGTGCAGCCCCTGGGCACGCACAGAGCTCCCAGGAGCTCACCCAGCCCCTGTGCACAGCATCGCCTGCGCCCAGGCAGGGAACCAGGGAGATGAGGAGGAGCAGGGACAGTAAAACCAAAGCCAGTTCTGCAATGAACGGGGCCACTAGGAGCTCATCTTCCACCTGCCCTCACCATGGTCTCCTCCAAAATCCACTGCCACCCGTTCCTCCCCACTCCCCTTGTCCCCGCAGCAGGGGGCTGGCCGCCTGGTGCCCCCGGGGGGGCAGAGCCTGACAGCACGGGCACGGGGCCAAGGCGCTAAATCCCCGCAGCCGATCAGCCCTGAGACGTAATCAGAGGAGACAGGGCGCTGGGAGCAGCGCGGGGAGAGGGCTCGTGGGGTCTGCGGCTCTTACGCAAACCCTGCTGGGCTGGGGAGGGACCCGGAGCACCCCCTCTGCCCCGTCCCCCGGGACACCCCAGCCCAGACCCACCTGGGACTCGGAGGGCAGGAAGGCGATGTTGATCTCGGTCAGGGTCTTGATGACCTTGGCAGCTCGGGATTTCACCAGCTCGTTGAAGAGGGCGTCGGGGCAGGCTGGAGGGGAGGGAGAGGAGGAGGCTGCGCTCAGGGCATGGTGGCCAAGCTCCCATGGTCCTGCTCTGCCCAGGCATCCCTCCCACCCACCTTTCTGTGCATGTTTTAGTGGAATCGTTCCCTTCTCTTGGTTTGCACGATGCGTTTTGTGATGGGGGGGTGCTGCCTGCAGTGCCTGGGGGTGAGGAACCCGGATCCCACTTTTGGCACGCACAAACCCGCCCGTGGCCATGTCCCAGCCCCATCCCGCAGCTCCCCGCGGGCACCCCCTGCTCTCTGCTCCTTGCCCCGTCCCCCTGCTGTACTCACAGTCAGTGAAGAAGACGTGGGCAGCTCTGTACTTGGAGGTGGGGGGGTCCTTGAAGTCGTTGATGAGGGAGTGGATGGACTGCAAGAGACACACGAGTGGCTGGGCTGGGCAGGGCGGCCCCGCATCGCGGCACCCAAAGCCCAAGGAGCAGCACCCTGTGCCCCCCACCCTGCACCCCACAGGCTTGGCACCACGACCCGTGCCAGGGTGCCCCCATGGGCGCAGATCCTCCTCCTCCTCCTGCCCCCAGCCCCTGCTCACCTTCTCGGAGGGTGTGATGAGGTACACGGCCTCCAGGCTGGGCAGCGGCTCCCGGCGCTTGTTGATGTCTTCCACAACTGGGGGGGGAAACACAGGGGTCATGCCGGGGGGGTGGCACCAGCTGCCAGCCCCCTGGTGCCCCAAACATCTCCCTGGCCACTCGCCCCCACCCACGTGGCAGTTGGGGCTGTCCCCAGCCCACCCCAGCCCTGTGTCACCCTGCGGGGGGCACTTGGGTGCTTGGAAAGGTCCCAGGGAAGGGGGGTGATGGATTTGTGTGTGTGCTGCTGTGCTGTGGCTGCTTTGGTTCATCCTCGTGTCCCTGCGCTGTGGGGGGGACACTTGGGGGTGATGCTCTGCCTTGGGACGTGGTGGTACCCCGGGGACAAGCCCCCAACACCCAGCACCTCCCGAGGCACCACCAGTGTGTTCCTTCTCCTCCCTGAGCGCCGCAGGCAGCTATTTATAGGGCTGGGGTAAAACAACACCTGGCCTCCTCGCAGCCATCCTCCTCGGAGCCAAGCGCTGCCAGGAGGCTGGGAGGGACCCAAAGGCACCGGGCACGGGATGGAGACGGGGGGCTGGGTGCCAGGGGGGAGCTGTGCGCGGCGCTGTACTCACTGGTGATGCCCTCCGTCATGATATCGGTCATTTTGCAGCAGGAGGACAGCATGCGCATGCTGAGCTGGTCCACCACCAGCACCTGGGGACAGCGGGCACCAGCTGGGGACGGGGCAGCGGGGAGAAGCCCTGCCCTGCACCCCGACGGTGCCCTGGGGCTCCCAGCCCGCTCCGACCCCTTCCCAGCTTCATCCTCCTCCTCCTCCAGCCCCGCTGCTCACCTTCCATTCTCCCTTCTTCTTCACCTTGCGGATCACATCGTGCATGATCTCTGCAAGAGACAGGGAGCAGGGGGTGGTGTGAGCACCCCAAACCTCCCCACAGCACCCCAGGGTGCCCACCTGCAGCGGGGGGGCTGTGCTGGGGGCGCTGGAACCCCCCCATTGCTTATGGGGCCGTGCCAGCCCCTCTGCACCCCTCCTGGGGGTCCCAAAACTGCCATCCTGGGGTGGCCGAGCACAGCCACTCGCTCAGTAGGGCTCCTTTTGGGGTGGCAGGGGTGTTTTGGGGACCTGGCACAAGGGGTGGCCCCCAAAAACCCACATGGGGCTGAGCACAGGAGCTGAGCCCACCCCGCGGGGAGCAGGGAGCGGGACCCAAAAGCGCGCCCCAGATGGCAGAGGGACGTGGGGGTCCCCGGGGGCCACCCCGCACGCCTCGGCCCTAATCCGAAGCGCCAGGAAAACAACAGCGGCTTTAAGGGCTCCTTTTAGCAACAAGCCCCAGGCGGCCTCAGCCTGCTCCTTGTAATCCCCCAGAAGCTCATCTCGCACCCGGCCCTGCCCCGCTTACACAACCAGCCGGGGTCGGTGTCCCCGCGCTGTCCCCTCAGCCAGGCCACCCCCTGCCCGTTCCCTGGGCGCAGGCACCCCGGGATCCGTGCTGGGGTGGGGGAGCAAGCCCCAAAAGTCCCCTTTGTCCCTGGACAATGAAGTAAAGGGTTTTGGGCTGCCTGGCCGGGCTTGGGGAAGGGTCTGCGTCCGTGCGCCGCCGTGCCACATCCCTGCTGCCCTCCCGGGGGGCTTTGCTCCAAGCCCCTGGCCCCCAGGACAGGGATGGGGGTACCCAATTAAAACCCCAATTAAAACCCCATCAGGAAATGTTTCTAAATTACATAAAGTGGAGGCGTGGGGGGGCAGTGGGTGCAGGTGCCGCCCTGCCAGCCTCATCCCGGGGAGCCTCCCCCATGGCAGCAACCCCAGGGGTGCCGGTCCCGCGGGCAGAGCTCGACGCAGGTTTATATGGGGCAGCTGGGGACCTGAATTTGCCTCATTCCAGGACAGGGCTTGAGGGAGGCACACAGAAAGGACTGCCTGGGGGAGCTGCCAGCCCTATAAATGTCCGTGTTGGGGTGATGCTGCATTTGGGTTCACTTCCCTGCCCTGCCACGTGCTGTGAAGCTGCAGGGGCACGGGGCTGGCAGCAGCGCAAAACCCACTGCAGAACTCGGGAGGTTCCTGCTGCCGGTGCACACACGGCTCCTTCCCATTAGGTGTCCCTGGGGGAGCCCCAAAAGATGCTGGCTGTGACCTTGGGGTGCTTCCCGGCCTTGCTCTCATCCCGTAGCTTCTCCCTTGGGTGCGGGGCACCTGCAGGCCACGGGGGGGTAACTGGGAACAGGCGGGGTTGGTACCGCGGCGGGGCCACCCCCAAACCCCGTGGTGCACCCACACCCGGGGCACCCAATGGGGAATTTTGCTTTGCCATGGGCAGGGTGCAGCAGAGAGGGCCCCCACATTGACCCCTGGTTCTCTGCTGGTGCCAGGGACCCCCTGCAGCCCCTGCTCCACGTCCCCCATGGGGGCTGCGTTCGCTCAGCTTCGAGCAGCCAGCGCCTGGTGACAAATATTGCCAGCTCCTGCCACAGGCTCCTTCCCTCTTTTCATTCCTCATCTTTGGCTCTTTCTCCCATGTGAGGACCCAGGGATAACGGTGCTGTTTGGTGCTGTTTGCAGGCACCGTCCCACACCCTGCGCCCGACACTGCGGGCAAACAGCCGTGATGGGAGCACCGAGGTGCTGCCAGTGGGGACAGGGCTGGGCTCCTGGCTCCGGGCAGCCAGGCAGAAATCCTGCCCCTGCAGCAGCGTGGTGCTCCGGGGCAGGGAGAGGAAGGAAGGAAGGAGGCTGGGAACAAGAAGGAAGGAGGCTGGGAGCGAGCGTCCTGCATCGAGGGCTGTGGGGAAGGAGCCTCGGGTGCCCCAGTTGCTGCTGGCCCCGCAGCTGTTTGTCCGTGGAGCAAAACCGGTGAGGTTGCAAGGGAGAGGGGATGCCAGTGAGGATGAGCTGTCGAGGATGAGCCATGCAAAGGCATCCTTGAGGCAATTCGGCACTCGGCAAGAGGGGAAACAGCAGCTCCCCTGCTCCTGGCGCCTCAAGGCAAGCCTGGCCCCTCCTGGGCAGAGATGCTCTCACGTCCACACGACAGCAGGTCGGACGCTGCCGCCCGTGCCCTCGGATGGTCTCGGCCAGAGCTTTGGGGCTCTAACGTCAGCCGGTGACGCCTGCAGCCGAGCTTTTCATCTTGGAGGCAGCCCAGGTTTCGGGGGGGGATTCGTGTGTGTATCCAACCCACCCAGCGCCTCCACCACTCGGACGTTGCTTCTGCTCCCTTCAGGCTGGAAGGATTTTAATCACGATTCCTGCTGAGAACGGACAGCGCAGATGGGTTGGGGTTTATCCTCCGATGCAGAGAAGACCCCAACACCACGGGCAAGGAAGCCCCACCTCAAACTGGGGACCTCCAGTAACGTGGTCCTAACCGTGCCACCCCAGGACACCTCGTGTGGCGCACCAGAGCTGCCACCTCCCCGGCCACCCCCTCGCTGGGCAGGGCTCCTCCTGGGGTGACGGTGGCAGGAGGGTGTCCCAGCACATCGCCTGCAGCCAGGGCCAGAGGCCGGTGACACGGTGGCCTAGTAGGACTCGTGCCCGTCCGGCGCTGCAAAAGGCTTAGCGGTGTTACCGACCCGCGGCTGCCTCGGGGACCGACCCCACACCTCTGCTCCTGGGGGAAAAGGTGCTGAAAAAGCTGTGACCAATTCAGGCTGGGCGGGGATGGACTCATTTGGGGTGCCCCAAGGCAGTTGTCAGGCTTTGGAAAGAGCCCGGAGCCCAGCCCCAAAGCCCACCTGCAGTGGAAGCAGCAGAGCCGGGTCCTGGCCAGCCCCAGGTGCTGGAGCACCAGGATGGGGTTTCTGCACCCAGAGGTGTTCAGCAGCGATGGCCAAGCCCTTTTCCTAATGCAGAAATTATGAAACCAAACTCCTGCTGCTCAGAAATGCTCCTCTGCCACCATGTTCCTGGTCCTCGTGTGCGGCACACCTTGTCCTGGCGTGGTGCGGGGTGGAGTGACGTGAGGGACAGCAGGAGACCAGGTCCCGCGGTCCTACAGGACCCCAACCACGGGCTGCTCCTTGCCACAGGCACGGCTCAGTCCCTTCACCCTCCTCCTGTGCGCTCCGTTTGGGACCCAGAGTCCTGGAGCCGCCGGGGAGCTGGACCACGGAGGCCCTCGGTGAGGTTTGCTCCAGACCCACCTCCCTCGCGGAGCTGTCACGACGCATCCTTGAGACGTGTTTGTCTGCGGGTTGGCCTGGCAACTGCCTTCTGCTGGTTCGTTAACTAATTGGGGAAGGCAGCGCGAACGTTACCTAGGCAGAACCACGCTCAGACGTAGCAGACCGTGCGTTTACATCCAAAACATCACCAGCTGGGGACACACAGGTGCCAGCGTCCTGTCCCCAGGCGGTCCCCGATCAAATAGGATCAGAGGGTGGCAAGGAGGCCATCAGCCCAATGGGGCACGGAGAAGAATTGCATTTATGGGAGCCAAAACCACCTGCACGGCCTCGACAGGGGCAGGGCAGAGACCTGGAGAACGGCTCAGGACTTTGGGAGCACGGCCAGAAGGACATGAGGAAGATGAAAGGCACAATCAAAAAATCAAAAACATGGTTAAATTCATAAGGATTTTCACTGCGGGACCGCTCCTGACATGGGTTCTTCGGGTCTGCATGAGGACCTGGGAGTCGAGCAGAGCTTCTCCTGCTGGGTGCTCAGCGGGGCACAGCCCACAGCAGGTCCCTTCTGAAGGCATCGCCCTTCCCTGAGCTTGTTCTCGTCCCCCAGGCGTTCCCACCCTCGGAGGAGGTGCTGCGATGTGCCAGTGGCTGCAGGAGCCAGGAGCTTTCCTGAGGCAGGACGGGACGTGCAGGGCCACCGCATCCCGGGGTAGGTGCCCCTCGTCCCCACACACACAATGACTTTCTGCCCTGGTTCTCCTCCGCGTTGACCAAGAGGGAGCAAAACGCCAACCCCTGGGGTGCACGTGTCCAGCTCCAGGCGGTGCCCCGGTGGCACATCTCCCCATCCCATGGGCTCCACAAAGGCCGTACCCGTGCGTGCCCACCCGTGTGTCTCTGCGTGGTTGTGGGGAAGCCCCCAGGTCGCGGTGCCTTCAGCCTGATTTATTTTCTCCCTCTGAGAGGCAGGAGCCCCGGGCTCCTCCCCACGCGGCGAGCTGCTGGGCGCAGCATCTGCTGACGGCCGCGCGGTGCCGAGCCTCGTCCTCAATGCCTGGGTTTTTGGGGGGACTTTCTCCCAGGAAAAATCCTCAGAGGTGCCAGGGAATTGGGCCCTGACCTTATTTATTTATTTATTAAGAGGGGAAATTTCTAGGCCTGGTGGTGGCTTTTTTTCTGCTTTCCTGCACACGCAGACATCGGTGGGTGGAGGCAGCCCTGCCGAAGCGATCGGTTATCGCTCACGGTGACACAGGGACAATATTTTTCAGGCTCAGGTGTAGACCATGGTCTGGAGGCTAAAATTACTAAATTTTCGAGCCATGACCCAACTTGGAGCCGATGCTGGAGGCAAAGCAAAACGATCCCACGAGGACAAACCCAAAAACCCCAGCAGGGGCTCTGCCAAGCGCCCGCTCTCGTGGGAGCTGTGGGGTCTGCTCCCGGCTGTGGGGTTGGGGCACGCCGAGCTGGAGGCTCTGCCCCATGCAGGGATCAGGATAGAGGACACGACGTGCACCCATGCCATGTCCCCACCACGTTGGCCTGGTCCCGTGCCCTTCATCACCTCCTCTTCCTCCTCTTGTGCGTGGCAGGGACCTGCCCGGAGCTGGCTCTGGCGCAGTACACAAGCCAAGTACCCCGAGATGGACTCGGAGCATCCCGTAGTTGGCCCCAAAATCCTCCCGTGCCCTCAGCAAGGTGCTGGCAGCACGAGGTGCCCCCAGCCGCCCGGGTGAGTCACGCACCAGCTCCGCAGGTCCCCGGGGGCCCCGGCCGTGCCCTGAGGCTGGCAGCGAGCCCGCAGCCCTGCCCTGCCCTGCCCGTGCCACCCAGCTCGGTGTGCGCCCGCTCCCTGGGCTGTCACCTCCCCGCAGGGAGGGATGGGGACACCGGGTGACGTGGCACGGCCTCGGCGGTGGGGGTCCAGGGGGGATTTTAGCGTGGGCTGGATGGAGCTGTCATGAGGATGCTGTGCCCTGGGGCAGGGTGGCCCCGGGGGGCAGCACGTAGCCGGGGACAGGCGAGGACAGGAGGAACGTCCACCCTGGGGGGGGTCAGGTGAAGATTTGGGGCTGGGGGCCTCAGGGGTGGGCCCCAGCTGCCACAATCGGGTGAGATTTTTCCAGCTGGAACCCGAAGACACCGGGAGGACCGGCCCCAGGGGAGAGCAGGTCCTGGTATGGATGCGCCCATCGCTGCTGGATGCGGGGAGGCGCAGGGACAGCCCGGCTGGGGGGTGACAACGGGTGCCCGGGGCACCTGCGACATCCTGCCCACCTGCTCCCAGCTTCCTGGGGGCCCCCAGAGCTCGTCCTGCTCCAGCACCAGCTGGTCAGAGGAATAATCCTGGCCTGGAGGGAAGCCAGGGCGGAATGCAGCTCTGGAGGTGGGGCCGTGGCGGCGCGCAGCATCCCTCCATCCCTCCATCCATCCATCCCTCCTCCCTCCCTCCTTCCCTCCTCCGAGGATGCCCGCAGAGGGCTCCTGCCCTCGGGTCAGCCCCAGGGCACAGGCTCAGCCCTCCTCTGCCCTCCCCGGTGAGCGTCTCCCCCCTCTGCGGGTGCCCCTCGGGGAATCGCTGCCCTGGTGCAGTGGGGGAGAGCCGCAGCGGGGAGGGGGAGCTCTGGGTACCCTGCGGCTCCTGGCAGCGGGGAGCAGCCCCGGCTGAGAACAGCACCACAAAGCACGAACGGCCCCAATGAGACCCGGAGCCTCCTGCAGCAGCCTCGGGAGCCCCCAGCCCCAGGTTGGGGGTGGGCTGGACCCCCCCAAGCGCTCCTGCAGGGGCCCCATCCCTCCATCCTATGCAGCATTTTGCCCGCACGCAGAGCCCTGCCCTCTCCTTCCAGCCACCCACGCTCCGCAGGCTGTGGGGCTGGCACCCCGCTGCCCCTTACCTTCCCCAGCCCGGATCCCCTTATTTTTGGGCAACCAAACCCCAAAGGGACGGATCCGGCCAGATTTCCTCTGTGTGTGTGTGTGTGCACAGCCGTGATCGCCCCCAGCCCGTGCCAATGACTGCAAACAGGGGGCAGGGGACACGCAGCGCTGCCCGTCCGTCCCCTCTTCGCCGAGGGCAAGGTCCTGGGGCCCTGCTGGGGGGGTGCAGGATCCGTCCCCCCCCCCACCTATGTGCTGGGGCTGCCCCTTTCTCTCCCCAGCCTCCTGCCCTGGGCAGGAGGGGGGGGTCCAGCCCCCCAGGATGACACCCAGCAAAGCCCCCCCCCTCCCAGAGCCCATCCTGCAGCAGAGAACCGGGTGTGGGGGGGGCATTTTCCTGCATTTTCCATTTCATTTCCCAACCCGCTCGGCTCTGACCCCCCCTCCCTAACGCCCCCCTTAATGCAGCACCCCAGGGCGGGTGTCAGGGGGGGGGACACGACTTGCGCAGCCCCCCCCCGGGCAGGTGCCGGCTGGGAACAAAGCGGGGCCATCAATCCATCAATCCGGGGGGGGCATCCATCCGAGGGGGGGGGGGGCATCAATCCGGGGGGTGTCCCCCCCCCCTCCATCACCACCCACCCGATCACACCACCAGCCCCGGCCGCACCATCTGCACCGCTGCGGGAGGGGTTCGCTGCCTCCGCAGCCGGAGCCATCGCGGCCGCGGGGATTTCTCCCATTGCCCCCCCCCTCCCCACCCCAAAAAAAAAAAAAAAACACCAAAAAAACACCCAAACCAGCCCCTGCTACGGAAATCAGTCCCGCAAGATGGGCGCGGGGAGGGGGGGGGGGGCAGCAAGGCTGCGGGGAGCCCTGGGGAAGTTACCCCCCGGTTCCTGCCCTTTTCGCTCCCGTCTCCTTATTTTTACGCACAGATTTTCGCAGCGGGGGAGGGTCGCACGAACATTTCCCCCCCCCCCTCCTGCAGCCTGGGGCTTTTTGGCCCCCCCCCCGAGGCCAGCAGGCCGTTGAGGAGCTGCTCGGCTTGCGGCAGGAGGGGAAGGAGGAAGCGGAGCCGCGGCTCCTCCGTTCCGCCCCGCAGCCCCGGCCAAAAATAGCGAGCCGGAGGGCACCGAAATCCCCGGCCATGGGGTCCCGGGGGGGGGCTGATCGGGGCTGGGGGGGGGTCACCCCCCTCCCCGGGATGAGGGGCGAGGGGAAAAAATGTTTCTGGGGGCATTCGGGAGCCCCCCCGGGGAGGGGTTTGGCGCAGACAAAGCGGCGGGCGCACGGCCTGGCGCGGCGCTGGGCACGGACACCTCCCGTGCCCCCCCCTTTAATGTCCCCCCCCCCATCCTCGGTGCCCCCCCCGTGCCATTTGGGGGCCGTTCGGGTTTTGCTGCCCGCGCCCCGATCGCCTCCCGCCCGTTCAGATCCGGGGAAAAGGCTCCGGCGCCTCCCGCTTCCTCCTTCCCCCCCCCCCCCCCGCCATTTATTTATTATTATGTTTTTTTTTTTTTACCGCTCCCCCCCCCCCCGCGCCGCCCTTCAGCACTGCAGAAAAAGCCCAACAGCTCCAAAACACCCCCAAAAAATAAAAATTAAAATAAAAAAGAGGGGGACACCCCCCCCTCGCTGTCCCCGCTCCCTGCCCGTTGTCCCCCCCGAGCCCCCCCCCGGGCTCCGTTTGGCGCATCCGCAGCATCCCCCCCCCCGGGGGCATTTCCCCTCGGCTTCCCCCCCCCCCGCCCGGAGCCCGGCGTTTTTCCACCCCCTCCCCTTTATTTTATTCTCTTCCTCCCCCCCCCCCCCCCCGCGGCTCAATTTTCAGCCCCCCCCCCCCAGCGATGCGCGGCCGGGCTCTTACTTTCTCCGACCACAGCCTTGAGTCCGATGGGGGCCATGGTGCCGGGGGGGGGGGGGGTCGTGCCAAGCAGGGGGGGGGCGCGCAAAGAAACGAGGTGTCGGGTTGGAGGGGGGGGGCGGACAAACAGCCGGACAGCCGCTGCGGGTGGCAGCGAGGATGCGGAGGGGGGGGGACGAGGGATTTGGGGGGGGGGGGCGACACCGGGGACAAGGTGGGGGGGGGGACACCGGGCTCCGGTGGTGGCCGCGGCGGGGCTCAGCTGACTGCGCGCAGGGGGCGGGACGGGAGGGGAGGGGAGGGGGGGGTGGGGGGGGCACAGACGTCACGACTCCCCGCCCCCCCTCCCCGCCCCCCACCGCAGAGACCGCCCCCCCCAGCATCTCCCCCCCCTCCCATCGCTGCGCCCCCAGCCTCGCACCCCGTTTCGCAATATTTTGCCGTATTTTGCCATTTTTTTGCTATATTTTGCCATATTTCTGTCCTGCCCCCCCCCCACCCAAATCTCCCCACACCCTGGGGTTGGTGGGGTGGTGGGAAATGTGCCCCCCCCCCACCATTCCCCAGCCTGTTTTGGGTTCATTTTGCGGCAAAATCAATTTTGTGGGGTTGCAGGGGGTGGGGGCACTGGGGATGGGCACAGCCCCTGCTCACTGCGGGGATGTAAATGGGGGGGGGGCAAGGCTGGGTGCTGCTGGGGGGGGGTATTTCCTCGGGGTGGGGGGCAGAGGGATCCAGGGGGGCTGTGGCAGCCTTGTGCTGGCTCCTGGGGCCGGATTCGGGAGCTCCCCCCCGCATGGGCAGGGTGTAAGGGGGTGTAATGGGGTGTAAAGGGCAAAGGGGTGGGGAGGGGGCTCGGGGGGCTCCTGAGGGCCCCCCCATGGGTGCGGGTGCGTGGCTGGGTGCTTGCTGTGGGGTCACGCATCCAGCTTTGGCTCCATTTCCCCTTTATTCCTGCTGCATTTATCGGGATGCTGTGGGATGGCCGAGCTGTGCCACGCCGGGTTCCCGGCACGTTTTGGTGCTTTGGGGGGGAAATGGGGGAAATGGGGGCCTGGGGGAAATGCAAGGGGATGGGAAGCTCGTCCCGGCTCCCCCAGTCACCCCGGGCAGATGTCTCCATCGATCCCGGGCTCCCAACGCCGCTCTCTTTGTTAAAAATAAGCCGGAGTTTGGTTTGTCAGCGCTGCTGGACTCGGTGCCAGCCACGAGCTATAAATACCCGGCTGCTATTTCCGAGCGAGGTATTTCTGTTGCCTTCCCATCGCCCCGGCAGCCTTCCCGAGCAGGCCGAGCATCATCAGGCTGAAGGCAAAATCACGGCACGTGTCCCAGCCGGCCCCGTCCCTGCCCCCGGGGACACCCGGCGCCCCAGCAGCCCTGTGCTTCCCTGGCTTCCAGCGCTGCTGGCAGAAAAAAAATCCAATAAGCAAGCAGCGGCACTTGCTGCGCTCAGAAAATCAACAGGAGCCTCTGGGTTTGGGACCTGAGGCTGGATCGTGGCACCCAAAACGCCCCAGGGCAGGGATCCTGCCCTACAGGAGCCATTTCGTGCCGCTGGTGCCCCGTCGCCTGGGCTGAAACCCCAAAGCTTCCCCCACAAACGGCTGCTGCCTGCTCCGGAGGCCGTGAAAAGGGGAAGCTGTCCCCACCTCGGTGGCACTGGTGGCAGACATAAATGGGTAAAGGGGAGCCAAAATGCTGGACGGCTTCCCACCTTACAGCTTCCTACCCTACAGCTTCCCGTCCCACCTTATAGCCCCCAGCTCCCAGCCAAACGACTCGTCCAGGGGCTGGAGCATGTCCCAAGGAGGGTGGCTGCGGGGACGGAGAGGGCACAGCTTCCCCCGGTGCTTCCCTCCCCACCGGGGCCCCTTGGGGACAGCCGTGTGACCGCACGGTCACAGCTCCAGCGCCCCTGGGTCTGCATTTCCCTTTCCAGCACGACTTTCTGGGAGCAGGCACCAGGGACGAGGTGGGATTTGGGTACGAGCCGGGGGCTTGCAGCTCTCAGCAACCCCACAGAGCCAGGAGAGCGCGTCTGGCTCTGCGTCCTGCCCTCCCACCCCTCGCTGGTGGGTCCCAAAGGGGCAGGTTGTAGGGGCTGTGCACCCCCGTGTCCCCCAGCCCTCGGGACACCGAGCGGGGCCAGCAGCGGGCGGGGTGCCGCGGTCCCCAGGGTGGCAGCGGGGTGCTCTGGGTGCAGGCAGCACCCGGCCTTTGTGCCTGGGGCTTCGCCGCTGTCACCGCCAGGTCTCCATCGGGCTGGCAACATCGTGCTCGTGTTCCCCGTGCCCAGTGCCCGGTACCTCCAGTGTGGGCTCTGTGGGGAAGCCGGCAGGGCCCCCACCCCTGCTGGGGTTCCCGCAGCAGCCTGCGGGCAGCTGGAGGGGCAGGGATGGTGCTTTCTGTGCCCCGTGCCCAAGTCCCGTGCCCTGTGCCCAGTGCCCGTGCCCCATTCCCATCCCCATGCCCTGTCCCCACGTTCCTGGTGCTGCCCATTCCCACACCCCAATCCCAAACTGGTGTCCCTGCCCCATTCCCATCTCCATGCCCATGTCCTGTGCCTCTGTACGGTTCCCATGCCCCATCCCCATCCCCATGCCCCATACCCACGTTCCTGGCGGTGCCCATTCCCATACTGGTGCCCCCTCCCCATCCCCATGGTTGTTCCCCCCACTCCCCAGCTCCCCCGGCCCTTCCCCAGCCCCCTGCCCGTGCTGGCTGCCGGCCACCAGTTATCCCAGTGCCGACCAGCAGAGGGGACTGGTGATCCACAGCAGCCTCCTGCGCCCTCCTCTAGCCCGGGCCGGGCCGCAGGAGCCCCGCGGGTCCCCCCCCAGCCCTGCAGGGTCCCCCCCCGGGCTCCCCGCAGCAGGGTGTGCTGCCTGCCTGCCTGCTGCACCCCCCGGGCCGTGTTTGGGGCTTTTTGTAGGGTCCAGGCTCGTGTCCGGCTAAAGCTGTGCCTGGGGCTGGTCCTCACAGAATCAATCACAGAATTTCTAGGTTGGAAGAGACCTCAAGATCATCGAGTCCAACCTCTGACCTAACGCTAACAGTCCCCACTAAACCATATCCCTAAGCTCTACCCCCAAAAAGGGTTTCAGGAGGCTCCAAAAGGGTTTCGGGAGGCTCCGTGGCCAAGCAGCAGCTGCAGGGGCCGGATCCTGCCCTGGCTCAGCACGGGGCAATGCGGTGTTATCAGTGCCATAAATCCCGCTGGAGTCACAGGGACGGAGGGTGCCCAGCCCGGGGCTGAGCTGCCCACGGCCTTATCAGCACCGAGGAGCTGCAGGGCCCTAATTAGGCGGCGGTTAATTGCGCCAACGCCAGTTCCCGTGAAGGAGAGCAGTCAGCAGCCCTTGGAGCAGGAGCTGGGGAGCAAAAGGGTACGGAGACGGCTTCTGTCAGCACAGGGAAATAAATCCTTACTGCGCCAACAGCCTCCCAGGTGCAGTGCCTGCAATGACTCTATGGGTACTGAGGGCAGGGGGGGACCGGGAACAGCCTGCTCTGGGTGCTCTGCGGGGGCACAAACCGGGCTTTACACCATGAAAAGCAAGAGTGGGGCAGCGGGGGGTTTGTCCCCGTGGGTACTGAGCAGGTGAAGCCGACGAACCTCGGGAGGGGCAGGTTTGGTTTGAGCGCAGTCGGGATCAAACCCTCACAGCTCAGCGCTGATATTCCTGAACTGCCCCCTCGCTGGCATCAATCGAGGCCTTGGGATCGCCCAGGAGCATGTGCCGGGGCCCGGAGGTGGAGGAGGCGTCAGCAGCGCTCTGCTGTGGGTGTCACACGTGGCTCCGGGGCTTTGCCAGCTCGGGGACTGTCCCCAGCAGCTGGCTGGCACCGGGAGCACATTTGTCCTCCCCGGCTGTATTCAGAGGGAAATCCTTCCTTTCGGAGCTCTTTCGTCCAACAGATAATTCAGGCAGCTCCAGACAGATAAGCATTATTTACATCCGCTCAGAGGGATGTAATTAGCTGCCATGATTAGACTTTATCGTGGTGCCGTTTTTAAAGATCTGTCTCGAACCGGAGGGAGCTGCAGGGGCGCAGCGCGGGGCCGGGCTTGCCGAAGCCCTGTGAGCATCACCCATCGCCTGGCTCCCTCGGGGTGCTGCCACCCACCCAGAGCTCCCCTTGCACCCACAGGGGGCCGGATTCAACCCCATCCTCTGGTGCTTACTGGGGTGTACTGGGTGTCCTGGGGGGTCAGGAGGGGAGAGCAGTCAGGGCTGTGCCTTGCCCGGCCACCGTGGGATGGGGCTCAGTGTTTTGGTGGTCCCAGTGCCCCCCTGCTGGGCGGCAGGAGGGGCAGGACACCTCTCCCCATCCCTTTCCACAGCGGAGCCACAGGAGCAGAGGAAGCCCGGAGCAGACGTGCGTGCCGGGACAATTTCCTCCGCAGACAGGAACGCGCCGAGAGGAGCTCCAAGTGATGGCACCGCGCGGCTCCGAGCCCGCAGACGCTTCCCGCGGTGACAAAGGGCTCCCCGAAACACCAGCTACCCCGGACCCCCTGGGGTTTTGCAGCCGAGTGCCTGCCACCCAGAGCACAGCCATGGCACAACCACGACCCACGGGGCCGGGATGCCGGGCTGGTTTTCGGGAGGTTTGTGGAGACAGAAATGCCCTTTGTGTCCGTGCTGCGGCCTCCAGCCGCCGTTTGCACGCTACGTCTGCGTGCGACAAATATAGCCTTCCTGTCTGCACATCAACAATATCAATGCGTGCTATTTTTTAGCTTTTAATTATTATTTTTCCACTCAGGGAAATACGTCAGCAAGCAGGGCAGACAGGTAGGGCTCGGTGCGTGGTGCCGCGGTGCCCACACGGATTGATTTGTCAGAAGTAAATATTTCCGAGCGTTTTGTTGGTCTGTTTAGCAGGACTCTGCGTGCGCCGCTGAAATTATATTCCCCACATTTCTCCTTTACAGAGGAGCGAGGCTCGGCTTCTAACAGTGCCGGTGCCGTGGGTGGATATTTACGTGTTTACGGTTCGGGGGCGATGCGTTGCCCCCCCCCGGGGAGCCACCCAGCCCCTGCACAGCCCCAGGAGCTCCGCTTTGCAAATGAACCCAGAGCCAGACTCCTCCGGGAGCAGCGCTGGGGAAGGCGTTTCAAAGCCTCCCGTGGAAGGATTTTCTGCTGAAAACGAGATTTCGCCGAAGCTCAGTTTCCCAGGAGAATCCCTCAGCTTCAGCAACATTTTGGCTGGGGAGACAAGCCGAAAACGAGTGTGTTGGTGAAGTGCTCGTACGGGGCATTTCTGAGAGAAAGGCGAGCCTTTTGGGGCTGAAATGCCTTTCAAGGCCGAGGATAAGAAATAAGTGAAGGGGGAAAGGGCGGATGTTGAAAATGTTGGCTGGGGAGGCAGCACGGGGGGGACGGAGCCCATGGCCCCCCAGGTGCCAGCGCCGGGCGGTGGGGAGAGGTGGCAGGGAGAGGTTTGGGCACCCTCCCGTCCTCCTCCCCGTCCCGCGGCCGGCCCCGAGGAGCTATTTCGGGCAGGGTAAACAGGATGGCTCACACACACCCACCTCCTCTCCTCCCACCCTCCTTCCTCCAGGAGAAGCCTCACGGCCCAGCGATGCCGCCCGGCCGTGGCCCACCTCGGCCTGGGCTCGGCCTCCACGGCGCTTCGGCCTTCCCCGGCCTCCTCCTCTTCCTCCCCCAGGAGCCCGCCGGGGCCGTTTCCGCCTCGCCTGCTGCTGTGGGGAGGCAGCGGAGGAGCCGCGGCCCCGGCGCTGGAAGGAGGAGCTTTCCCAACGCTTCCTCCATCTGCCTGGCTCCCCCTGCTCCTCACGCCGCCACAGCCCAGGCCCCGGCCGCTCGGTGGCCGCCATCCCCGGCCGTGTGTGAGCCCTGCAGGCAGTGCCGGGCCCAGAGGGGCTCCACTTGAGCCTCTGCTCCCAAACCACAGCGGCAGTGATGCCGGCTCCCTCTTGTCTCCCCGCAGCACGCAGCCACCCTGCCTGTACCCCATGGCCGTGGAGCCTCCCCGCTCCCCATCCCAGCCTCCTGCCCGGCAAAGGAGGCTGAGGGACCCCCATGGCCGCCCTCCTGCACCCCAGCAGGGCCTGGCACAGCCCGGCACACCTCGCCTCGGAGCTGGCGGCAGCTCAAGGCTGAGGTTTACGAGGAGCTGGGCGTGAGCGCGCAGGTAGCAAGGGAGGCGCGGGTGTTGCAATCGGCCTCTGAGGCAACGTCGGGGAGCCGAGGCCGGTGCCAGGAGGGACCCGTTCGGCTGGCGCCAGAGCCCGCGGGGGCTGGCACGGGGCCCGCTCTGTGTGTGTGTGTGTGTGTGTGTGTGCTGGGGAGGCCACGGGGGGAGGAGAAGGGGGCTGAACGCCCCCAGCACCCTGCCCCGGGCTGAGCTCCCAGGCAGCAAATGAAGGCTGCTAATTAATGCCGGGCGCCCAAACCCAAAAAGGGGGAGGCTGGGGGCTGAGGGAGAGGGCTGGGTGGTGAGGAAGGGAAGGGCAGGGCAGGGAGGGGAAGGGCAGGGAGGGGAAGGGAAAAGAGAGGAGGGGAGAGGAGGGGAGGGAGTGGCCGGGGGCGGCTCCGCAGAGCCGGGGCTGCTGCCATGGGGCTCCGCAGCTCCTGAGCGCCCGTCCCCGGGCACGGCTCCGCAGCGCGCCCCCCGCAGCGCCCCGGCGCCATGGGCGATGTGCTCTCCACTCACCTGGACGAGGGCCGCCGGCAGCACATCGCAGGTGAGCCCCCCCCCCCAACCCCCCCAAAAAAAAAGTCACCCCCCCAACCCCCCCAACCTCCTCCTGCACTCAGTGGGGGACTGAGATTCCCCCCCTCCTTCCCACTCCGGGTCCCCCTCCCCTCCCCATTCCCACCCGATAACTTTTACCCGGCTTTATTTCAACTTTTTTCACTTTTTTTTAACCCCTACGCACCGCCTTGCATGTCTCCCCCTCCACGTCCTGCCTGTCCCCCCTGCCTGCTTTTATTATTTTTATTATTTATTTTTTTTTGGGTGGGTGGGGGGTAGGACCCCCAAAGTGCCTGCCCGCACCCCAGTAGAAGGCTGGGCTGTGCGGGGTGTCTCTGCTGGCTTTGGGGACTGGGGTCGGGGGTTGATCCCAGGAGGGCAGGGGGGGCACAGCGATGCTGGCACGCCGGGCTGTCAGCACGGCCACTGAGGGTTTTGCTGGTGCTGGGACTCACAGAGAAACTTTCCCCTCCCTGGCAGTGCTGGGGGGGGTCCCAGAGGCTCCAGGAGGTGGGGGGAGGACTGGGGGGAGCCCCGCTGGCAGGGACGGGGCAGGGTGACAATGTGGCCATTGAGAGCCCCGGCGGCTGTGCCGAGCGTGCGATGCCCGATTCGTGCCGCCCGGCGCGGGGCGGTGGCCTCTGTACAAGCGTGGGGCTGTCTGGGGCTGCCTGCGGGGACTTTTGTGACCCCCAGAGCTGGGGTCACCCCCTCCCCACCCCTGGGGGTGCCGTGCCTCGCTCTGCTCCAGCTGGGGCTGGGGTCTGGCTCTTTGCTCCCTGAGGTCGACCTCCCAGCCCCGTGGCGCTCAGACAAACAAAAAAATAAAACCTCTCCAACCCCCTCCCAAGCACCGGCACCGTGCACCCCACAAAGTCACCCCCGAGCCAGCTGGCACGGAGGAGCCTGGCTTCACGTGGGACCCCGCGTGGTGGCACGGCTCGAGGCCCCAGGAGGCTTCAGGGCTGTCTCTGTGCCCCACCATCGCTCTGTATTTTCCTACGTGCGCGGCTCTGGAGCTGGGGGGACCCGAGGGCTGCCGGCGGAGCCCGTCCTGCCTGCCAGGCCCCGCGGCCGGCTCGCAGGAATGCTTACGTGGTATGCGGCTCAGCAGGACGCCAGCAGGTTTGCGAGCTTTGAAGCAGAGCTCGTAATGAGCTGTGGGTTTGCACGTCGCGAGGCTTGGCGCAGCCAGGTTGGCGACGGGGGCTCGGGGCTTTGCGCTGCGCCGGGGCTCGCTCCGTGACCCCAAAGCACGTCCCGCATTGCCAGAGCACATCCCCACCGCCTTTATCCCGAAGAGCACGAGGAGGAGAAGCCCGGCCGGGTGCCCAGGCAGCAGTCTGGCTCTGCTGGGCACGAGCAGGGCGTTGGCGAGGCGAGGCAGAGCGCCTGCGCCCGGCGGGGACCCAGCGCTGTGCCGGTGGGTTTCAGCCCAGGCTGGGGGGTCTGGGGGCTGTAGGGGATTTTTCATGGATCCGTTCAATAGAGCTCGTGCTCATATGTGTCCTGCCCATGCTACAGCTCTGAAGTTTCGGGGTGAAAGAGGGGGAACTGCACCTGCCCTGGGGCACCCCCAGGAGGGGCTGGGGTCCGCCGGTGTCACCGAGCACCCCCTGTGCTTTAGGTCCGGGCTCCTGGCGGGGTGGGAGACCTGGCGAGCTGGGAGGGGCCGCAACCCGGCAGGCAAGGCACGACTTGCTGTCAGGCATGCAAAGCAACTCGGCGGGGAAAGCTCAGGCTTTTCCTGCTAGCTCGGCCTGCTCGCTGCTGCTGCCGGCACCCAGGAGCCGGGGAGGGGGCTGCGGGCTCTGGGTGTGGGGCAGCGCTGGGCACGAGCAGCTGGGACGGGGGCTCCATGGGCTCCTCCTTTGCTCTGCTCCTCCTGCAGCCCACCTGCACCGGTGGGATCGGTGGGATCGTGAGGCTGGGCGTGCAGCAAGCCCTGCAGCAGCAGGGAGGTGACAGCCTGCGCCAGATCCGTCCTCCCTGAGCATCCGCAGGTGGGCTCGAGGCAGGAGGGAGGTGGCAGCCCCCTCTTCCTAGGGACCTGGGGTGTAAAAAGCCACGCTGAGAGGGTGCTGAGGCTGCTGCCAATGTCTCGTGGAGGTCATGAGCTGGGTGAGTGCGACGTGCGTGTCGGCAGCTCAGGACTGGGGGCTCTCTGCCTTGGGATCAGGGGGTGCCTGGTGGGGCTCCCCCGGTCTCCTGCAGCTGGAGCAGCCGTGCAGGGGGCACCAGGCTGCCTGGGGATGCTGTCCTGGTGCCAGCAGGGCAAGCTGGGGCTGTGCTGACACCGGGGTGGATTTCAGGGCAGCTCCTGCCTCTGCCTCCCTCAGGTCCCTGCAGCCCCACGCTGGGGAGCTGTGCCGGTGGGGGAACCGGTAAGGGCTTCCTTCTGCTGCCTTCCCTTAGGACATCGTCCCGGCCTGACTCACCCAAGCTTGTTTGTCAACACCCTCTGGCTGCCTTCCTCCTCCTCCTCCTCTTCCTCCCCTCTGTGGGTGGGGACTTGTTCCCGTCCTGCTGCACGGGCTGGAGCTGGGACCGCGTCCCCTCTCCTTGCGCAAGGGCACCCAGCGTGGGCACCGTCAGCAATGGGGACACTGAAGACAGTGGGGGCGGGGGGTCACAGAAATAAAGGTTCTCAGGTTGGAAAGCCCCCTGAGGGCACCCAGCCCAACCCAGGCTCCCTCGGGGGCTCCTGGCAAGGAAGGGATGCCGCTGGCTGAGCCGCGGGGCTCTGTGTCCCTTGTGCCCTACTGATCCGGCACGAGGTCCTCGGTACCCAGCGGCACAGGAGGGGTGCCCTGGGTGAAGCTCTCCTGTGTACCCAAATAACTCATCCCCACGAGCCCCTTCTCCAGAGGGGTTCGTGTTGGTGGGCACGGGGCTGAGCTGAGGCAGGAGGCGGGTGCCTGCGTGGGGCTGGGGTCCTGGCACACTGCAGAGCCCCCGGGGAGGCGGGCGGCAGCACCAGGGATGGTCCTGGCGAGCTCACGCCTTGCTCTGGCAGCTCGGGGGAGTTGCCAGCTCATTAATTGCTAAATAAAGCAGCTGTTAATTTGGGGAGGGGCCAGATGGGACTTCCTGCAGACACCAGCCCACGCAGCTGGGGCAGAGGTGACGGGAGCCCTGCCGGTGCTGCCGGACCTGCAGCTTTCTGGCTCAGCGAGGGCTGCCGGGCACCGGGAGCTGCTGGGGGCACGAGCAGGAGGAGCCTGCACTGGCTCAGCCTGGAGGCTCGAGCCCTCGCCTCGCCCCAGGGCTTGGGGCATCCAAACCCGGCCGAGCTGCGGTGCCCCCGGGTGCCGAGGTGTGCGGCGGAGCCGGGGAGGTCGGGAGGTTTCTGGTAACTCGGTGCGTGGCTTCTTCCCTCGCAGAGGAAATCCCTCCCCTGGCATGTCGGGGCCGCACGCCAGCAGGGATCGGCTGCTTCTGGCGTGCTGGGGCTCACCCGCAGCCGTCGTGTCGGGGCACGGGGCTGCTCGGAGCCAGCGTGTCGGGGCACGGGACAGCTCCGGCTGCGGGGGGCCTCCGGGACCCTCCCGGCCTCGGGGACAGGAGCTGAGCCTGGATTGCAGCCGAGAGCTCTCCTTGGGTCCTCGGATCAGGCCCAAATCCTCCCCTGGGTCCCAGCTCTGCAATCAGCCACCCCTGCTCCCATTGCAGCGACCGAGCACAGCCAAGAGCTGGCGTCTCCCCAGCATCTGCCTCCCTCCTGCCCCCAGATCCCTGCGGGGGTCCCGGCCACAGCTCTGCCACTGCAGAGGTGACACACGGTGACACACGTCACCGAGACAGCCAGAGCCCCCTTCCCATCCCCATCCCTCCTACAGTAGCCTCTGCCCGGCTGCAGGATCCCGAGGCAGTGCCACTGGGGGCTCCTCGCTGCCCTCGCCCCCCAGGCGAGGCTGGCACCCCAAATCTGGCTGTGCCCCATGGAGAGCCCGGTGCCGGGGGAGCCAAGGGGAGGAAAGGCCGGAGCAGGGCTGCTAATTGCGAGCAGATTTCCTGCGGAGCTGCTCAAGGACGGAGCGGGAGAGGAAGGAGCCAAACTCCACCTTTTCCCCCTTTTCCAAGGGAGAGGGCAGCGGTGTTCAGCGAGGGTCCCCGCTGTGCTGGGGGGGCACCGTGCCCGTCCCCCTGCCCCTGCCAGGATCTGTCCCTGGACACTCAAACCCCTCTGCTGGGGGTGCTCCAGCCCCCGAGCTGTCCCCATGGAGGTGGCATGGGCCACAGGGCAGGAACTGCTGCCTGGGGCACGGGGACAAATCCTGGCTCCCTCTCCCCACTGCCAGCGCTGCCCAGTGCCACGCATGGTGCCCATCAGGGGTGTCCCCAATGAAGGGACGTGCCCCAAAGCTGGGTGACCCCAGTGTCACCGTGTGGGGTGGCCACGGGCAGCACCCTGAGCCCTGCTGCTGCTCCTGGCCGGGCCCTGGGCTGAGCACCACCTCCCTCGCTGTGGGGCCAGGAGGGTGCCCCACTGTGCCCCACTGCGCTCCGTGGGCCGTGGGGGCGCGGAGGAGCCGGCGCGGGCAGGGCATAGGAAACTCTCCAGCCGCAGGGACAGAGCCCAGAACAGGCTGAGGGCTGTTTTGTTCAAATACCTCTTTTTTTCTTCCTTTTTTTTTTTTTTTTTTCCTTCCCTTTGACGTACATAAAAGCCTTTGTTCGGTCTCCTCCCCCGGTGCTGGATTGGGTTTCCCGCTGGCACGGGGAGCGGGCCAGCTCCGGCTCTTCTCCCTGGGGCTGGGCGAGGGGCAGGAGGGGGCCACCTGCTCATGTCCCCGGGTGGGCACTGCCACCTGCAGAAGGGACTACCAGGATGTCCCAAACGAGAACCATGCACCTCCTGCCATCCCCAGCACCTGGAGACACTCGGAAGACGAGTGGGGACACCTGCGTTTGGGCAGGTCCCTTTACCCCAGGGACCCCTGGGAACCTCCTGACCCCACGGAGCTGTCGGGTGGCTCCCAGGTGCCA